GTACAATTTTACTGATTAATGCTGATAGTAAATTTATAAATGATTGAAGATGATGATCAAGATGAGATGGGTGTGTGTCTCAGATGAGACAAAATACGAAAAAAAAGGTTTTCTTTTATTTCACCATTTAAACTCAATTTATAGATGTATTAATGTTGATCAGAATTGCATGAGAAGAGTCAAGAATTTTTCTGCTCTTTTCAAGGTTTTCAATGTTATGTTAATTTTGTTACCTCAAGACTTTTCATTGTAACGATTGTTATTATGGGTGGATTAGATTAACTTTTTAACAGCAACAAAAGACGATTAAACAATGGATTATTGATTATTATTGATATTACCTTTTCTCAGTTTTAACCCTTTTCCAAGTGTTAAGGCGATTCAATGTTCAACTTTTTACGAAAATGCATTTTCTCGACTTTCGTCATTTCTTTCCAGATTGCTTTTCACATTTCCGTAAGTTTTTTTTGCAGGAAAAATGTCTCGATTGATAATTTAATTTAATATTAGTTACAGTTAACTGGAATGATACAGCCTCGGGCTGAGAAGATAATCAGTGAAAGTAAAGATGATCAGGAAAGAAGAGGAAAGAAGCTAAATTGAATGATGAACATGATTCTGTTAAGGAAATGAACAATATGATAACACTTGGTTTAACATCAATTCAATGGTTGCATATTTTAAGGTTAATTCATCAATGATTCAATTAATTGTTGCCTTTTTTTGTTCTGCTATTTTTGTGTCACAGATGAGATAAAATGAGTTTTGATAAAAGATGAAATTGAAACTTTTTCAAGTTTCCGTTTTTCAAATGTAAAGTCACTTTTTGTGCTTGCAAAGTTGGACAGTTTCAGATTTACTCAGCTTCAAGTTGCATGAATTTTTGGTTTTGTTTCATTTTGCAGTTCATTTAAATTGGCTAAAGGTTGAGCAGAAGTTTCAATAATTGATTATTTTCATCATGCATGCTGAGTAAGCATATTGTGGCATTTGTTGAAAAATTTAAGTTACATTACATTCAATTTTGACTTAACTTAAAGGTTTGTACCAAGTTTGGTCGACGGAAAATCGATCACATTTATTTCAATGTTCATGTAATTGATGCCCTCTAACAAGTTGAAAAATTGATGTTGATTCAAATGAAGATTTACAATTTCGTCTATGATGAGTAAATATGAATCATGATATCATTGAGGGTTTGGTTATTTGGAGCCTGAATGGATTAGACAGTTTATTTGAAAATATCCTTAAAGTGGTTTTATGGTCAACCTAGTTGAGCTCATTTCATTACCAGTTGGTTGGCTTGATACAAACTCAATCTTTAATTGTTTCTATTGATGGTTACTTTGACGACGCAGGTTGACCTAAACTCTGTAAAATATGTGAATTTCAGTCGAGTATGAAATCAGTTTGCAATTAACTTTTTTCCTAATAGTTACAAGCTTAACAAGAGTTGGACCTTATCTGGTTAACCTTACTTTACAGTTCAATGTTTTGCATTATCATCGTGACAAGAGACTGACAAGACTTGACCATCGTTGAGACTTCAACTTGATTTCAATCAATTTAAGTTGTCTTTAAAGTGGACTAATTTGTCCAAGAATGAGAAGTGTTTTTACGAGTTTTCTTGAACCAAAAATAGATGGAAGCACAAATAATATCGTTATCATTTCGTTACACTTTTTGTTGAGCATTTTATCGTAAAGTTGTGGTCGCATCAGATTGAAGCATATGAACCATGCAAATGATTGTAAATATTGCACCATTTTGGATAACAATGTGAAAAACGCAAACTAATGATGAACTTTTTCACGATAAACTTGATTCTCAAGTAGAACTGTTTGGGTTGATAAATTTTCAAATAATCATTATCATTAGTCAATAGAGAGATGATAATGATGCTGATAATGAGGTACAGGGGAAGAAGAGTGATCAAGTTTACCATTAAAAAGTGAGAGAAAGTGAAACTTGTAAATAATGAAAAGTAAATCACTTTACCAATGAATTATCATTTTCCCTTGAATTACGATTTCTATTCACAATTTATTCTACTTCATTTTTTTTAAATATTTAATGATGGTTAAAGTAAAGATGGTGATGTTGATGAGAAAAAAAGAAGATGGAAAAAAACTTTTTTTCTCCCAAAAAGTTGAGTTATTTCTTATATCATGTGAAAAATATTAAATCAAATGGTTAACCTTTTTTTGATACTTTTGCCAGAAAAAAAAGTTTACTTTTTCTTGAAATGCATTTTGTGTTTTGCTTGGTTGCCACTCTTCATATTTTCACTGTCATTATTTGTTTCACTTGAAATTTCATGAAATTATGGTGTAAAAACAGGTTAATATTTTGATAACATTAACTCTTTCAGCTTATTGGAATCAATGATGAACAATAATCGATTTTACAGTCAACAATCGATCTTTTTGAATCGATTCTCATCAATCGATTTTCGACGAAATTTTGATCAATTTATTTCAATTAGTTCGGATTATTGACTTCAGTTGAACCTTTTTGGTCAAAATTGACGATCTCGACCTTAGATGTTAGCAATCGATTGTTACCGAATTATATCGATTATTAGCGATTTTTGACGATTTTCAAAGATCGCTCAACAATCGATTGATGATTCGTGATAAAAATTGTTCAATTAATTGCTAAAAATAGTTTAACTAATTTAATCATTTAGTTGTTAATGATCAATTTGCATATTGAGGTGATAAATTTTCTGGAAAAACGAAGATATAAAATCGATATTCAAAGTATCGACATGAATCGATTATTAAACATCACTGTATTCAATTAACTAAATGAATCAGTTGATCTCTTATTGCTTCTTGTTGCAATTAAATATGTAAACTGAAGCAAATTGATTTGGACCAACAATTGACTCACCAATGAAAATTAGATGTTGGTTTCAATGAACTTGAATTTCACCTGAAAAGGCAACAATCACATGAAAAGACAGCTCAAAACATTGACAATCAAAGTAGATTAAAATTTTGTCAACTTGATTACATATGATTGGTGCAAAATAATGGGTTTTCATGAGCAATAATTAGCAATCAATTTGAAGGCAAATTAAGATGATTACAACAATAAACACTGTCAATGTTTGTGCATTAAAATGTTTACCAACAAAATGAGCAAATGAAAGTGTCTAATTAAATTTATCCGTTCAAATTGGTTATCATTAAGGTTGACACTTGCAAAAAACAAACAAAACAAGGAAAGACAAAAGATTCAGGTAAAAGATTCATCAAATGAATCTCTGTTTGAGTGAAAAAAAAGACACACAAATCTGAGGTAACAATTGAAAATAAACAAAGCTCAAGATTGAACAAAAAGTACAATCTCATACAAAATACATTACACCAATGATTTTCAATCAACTGATTCAAAACCTTTTCTTACCTTCAACTCACTCTTTAACTTTCATTATTACGTATCTCACCTTGATACTTATCATCATCATCATCATAATAATAAACAGTGGCAACAACAAGAATCATCTTAACTCTCTCTCTCAATTCACATCTCATTGTCATTTTCAAATGAAAAGTGTTGGACTATTTTTGCAATTGTTACTGATTGATAAAGTGTTAGACAACCTTGTTTATTACCTGATCATCTTTCCCATCATCAATGACAGTGTTGATCATCATTCCGAATCATCATCACCATTACCAATAAAATTATCAACACTTTATCAACATACAAAAATATTGATGGGTTTCACTGTTTTTGGGTCTGCCATTCAATCTATTGATATCTTTCAATTGCATGTAAAATGTTTCACCAAAAAGGATTCAACTCATTAAACCAATTATAAGTTAATTGTCAATCTTTCATCATTTGTTTAATTTTGTATTCAAGTTTCATTGAAAAGTGAAAGTCAAGACTGTCAAGAGCATGTTGTGAAGAGCCTTTGTTCAAGTCAATTTGGATTAAATTGTAATCAAAGTGAATAATGAAAAAGCATTATTCAAAACTACGTAAATCATCATTTAGCTTTTCTCGACGCTATTCAACTGATGCCGTTGTTTTCAGTTCCTATGAGCCATATCATGTAAGTAGATGGTCAAGTTTGCCAAATAAGTTGAACAGTCGCTGTTAATCAATTGGTTTGCATTACCTTTGATAATATCACAGAGATGAGACTTAACAACACATTAGAGTCGATTGTTTCCAATTTTCACTTTTCATTGAAAATTTAGCATCATTCAGTTATTGTATTGAAATGATTGAAGTTTACAGAAATATTCATTAGAGCTTTATCAAGGTCTTACTAACTCTCCATGGGCCTGCCATGATAATAATGAGCTTTATTATCATGATAATGTTAACTGGTCTTTATATAATTGACTGGAATCATTTAATGCTTTTGATAAAAGATCACGTTGAGAATTGTGTTTACCTTTTTTCACTCAACTTATCCCTAACATCAAATTCAACCTAGATATTTCAATCCATAACTCATCATCATCATAACCATCGATTCATCAAATCTCCCTGAAATCACATGAAATTTAGTTTTTCTCCTGTGCAAGTTGATAATTACAAATATAAACTCCCTAAATGCTCAAACCAATTCAATAATTTGCTTGCTCAAGTTTACCTTTTTTTGTAATTCATTTCAAGTTTAAAAACATTTTTTTTTGTATTCAAAATACACGTTTGTGCTTAAACATTGTTTGTTGGTCAATTGAGGAAAGCAATTGAATTATCAGTTTCACCTTTTATCCAACAATTACATTATTATTCAACTAATAAGGTAAATTTTTGACCCTTTCTCATCTTCTGCCAATTCACTTATCACTTTCACTGTTAATCCCACTAATCCAACTAATCCAATGTTGCTGGTTAATCGACCAGTCAAGCTTATCACTATTTGGTCTCTATTTGGTGTAAATTGTTATTAAGCTTAAACCTGATCAAGGCGGGTCTCGAGCAATATCTTTAACAGATAATTGCACTCAATGAGATAATACTAATTTGAATAAAATGAAATATTGTGTGCTTTTTCCAATATATTACACATACTAAGGGCGTGATTCATATATAAATATATTTTGATTCATCATCATGATGATTCTTGATATTTAGTGGCCAAGCTAATAGCGAACCAAGCAGCAAGAAAAACAACGATGAAAATCAGGTTAAAACCCTAAATTAAAGATGTAACCATGAAGACATTTGTTTCTTGCTTGTGACAAGTTACATATCACATTTTTGGAAGAGTCTTGTTGTTGACAGCTTTGATTTTTATCCTGTTTGCTTCTCCTTTTTCCCTTCATCATCAGCACCGTGAGTAACTTTGTGCTGATTTAAAGCTAATCAGTGTTGATTAATGTTTGAATTTGAATATAAGACCAGCAAAAATTAGTTCAAACTGGTAGCCTTTATCGCAATGGTGAAGTCATCCAAAATTTGATCATATTTGCCTTGCACTTGCAGGAGTTGATTAATTATCTAGAATTATTCAAATGATGTTTTCCAATTTGAGCCAGATTTGATTACTAATGGTACGGCTATTATCACTATCCAGGTAACTTTGAACCATCAAGTCGTCAATTGTGTACCAAAGATTATCTGGAAGCAAATGAGAATGTGATTATTTAATAATAGATTAAGTGTCAAAGGGAGACGAAATGATGATCACGATGATGATGTTGGTGATGTTGAAGGAAACCTTTATCATGTTCAGATGTTGTCATGATGATCAGGTTTTATGGATCAAATAAATATGAATCTACATGTAACCTGAACACGCAAAACAAGATGAAAGTTTGTAAAGAGAAGAGGAAAAAGTTTAATTAGATTTACCCTTGAATATAATTGTGGTAACTGAAAAAATGTAACCGGGAAGAGGCAGGCAAGAGTAAAAAAATAAATGTATGCAAAATGAACCTGAAAAAAGGAACAAGAATATCAATCGATTATTAAATTAGTATCGTTCCGTTTTATTTATCGTTACTAGCCTGAGTCATCTCAATTGTAACCACCAGGAATGATAGGTTTATACAGTTGAAGAGGTTTTACCAATTTAACCACAATTATCATCATCATTGAACCAAATTTTTTTACCCTAAAAAATGTCCTCCATGTTTTTTTTATATACAAGACAAATGTTGTCCTAAATGTACATATTAATGTATTATATAATATGCAATATTAACAGCAATCATTGACATGTATCTTCAAACCTTCTGGATTCAACTCTCATCTAATTATCGCCATTATTATTATCAAATTACCATTCTTTTATCATTATATAATATTTGGGTCTTTTTAATCTTTACCATTTCTTTGTCTATCTCTTTATCATAAACCAGGGATCGTCTGAAGATCTTTATACCAAAAAATCATCCATATATCGATCATCAGGTCAACTTTTAAAAACCTTAGGATGCCAAAGATCGTTAACTACAAAGGGATCATCATTTGAGAAAAAGGTAAAACACAATTAATTTTCAAATCATTCATTATCAATCTAATGTCCAACCAACCTTTCCAAAAATACTTACTTGAAAAAATTGACTCTAAAAGATGACCGTTACAAGTGAACAGCTTTGTGTAAAAAAGCCAAAATTTTAACAATAGATTGTAAGACATTTTGAACTTGATTTCTCGAAATTATGACAAGATAATTTATGAGGATTTTGACACAAAAACTGATAATATTCCATATTTGCTAATCCGGTAATCAGTTATAAGTTGAAACAAATATAAAATTAACAAACAAAATATAAAAAAAGCTTAGCATAACGTAACTCAGAAAGTTGGATGAATGTAAGTTGACAATTAAGATTTTCATTAAACTGATTAACTCAAGCAATCTAGATCACTGTTTTGGAAACAAAGAAAATTGAAATAATTTATGTGATGAATTAAAATTAATCGTAGTTTATGAGTAAAAGCAAAATGAATATTCATAAAGACTTTTATTAAAGAGGGAAACATGTGATTTATTTTAGGGAAGAGCTTTGTTACCCCGATTAACCAAAGAAGCGCCCGATTTAAAAGCAATTTATTGTAACGTGAAAAAGTTTATCAATTTCAAGTAAAATCTGAAAAGAGTAAATAAAATTTAAATTTTAATGTAAAAGATAAATTATTTACACACTTTTCACACTATAAACCAAGTAAGACCATTAATTTAAAAGTAAAACAAAAAATTGCTCTTAAATTGTCAAAATGTTTACCTTTTGTTTGCTTTAATTTTCATCTTAAATTCAAGTGTCAATCATTTTTGATATCATTGAAATAACATTCAATCGACTTGCGACTCAACTGAAAATGCAATAATTATAACTACTTCATATAGCATTGGATAATGGTTGCAAGATTATTTGATGAAAAAAATTGAAACCTGCAAAGGTTGAAACAATCAATCATAAGGACAAGAGACAGATCAAGATTTGATTATTTTTTCATCAAAATGCATTTCCAACTGTCACAAGGTTTGCACATCAACCCAACCATTTGCATTATAACCTTTACTTTCAGGGATTTTCAACTCCCAGCATGATAATAATGAATAGGAAACTCTGCAATATTTTACGATCAGATGATCTTGAAATATTTATTACAATAAATAACATAATTATAAAGTTACTTGATTATCAATCAAAGTAACAAAAGATAAATCATTTGAATGTAAATTTGTTTCCACGTAAAAGACCCTAGTCTTGTATCCAATTTGATGGGAAGCGAGTGACTCTTTTAGGTTAGGTTGGGTTATGGGAGAGGCTTGGTTTTATCAGACAGTGTCGATGAGTGAATGATGAATTTGGATGAATCTTGTTTGTATGTTAATTGATTGAATAACTAATCTATTGTGAGATTATCTGTAAGCCAAGTGAAAATGAATTAACTTGATTTAATTGTGAACCCTTCATGTAATCAATTCCGATTCAATCAATTTTGTCTTGAAGCTTTAATCTTGCCAAAAGAAGCCCAAATTTACTCTGTAAACCTTTTTTTTGCTTCTCGTGATTATGGGAAGAAACTTCCGATTCTGGTAACATTTTCAATTAAAGTTGACTCAGATAATTTGCTGGCTTTAAGTTAATTATCTATTCTTTTTACAATTGAATTTATTTTTTCCTTCAATTTGACCTTTCAAACATTTTATTTACACTTTACAGTCAACAAATCACAAGCAAAAAAACTCACAACATTTAAACAACATTGACTTTGTTACTTTCCATTTAAATTCAATTCACACTTTTTACCAACTTGTTTCATTTCAATTTGTGTCCTTTCATCTGTTTATTAACTTAATTATGTATCGACTTGGTAAATTGATTAGATTTAGTTTCCCATTTCTTGGATCACAATTTGTTAAATTAAATAAGGAAACACCAAGAGTGAGTAAACACTTCAACATTGCATTTTAATTTCACCAAATTTCATCTCACTTTACAATTTAAATTTAAATCCACTCAAACATCCTTCATATTTAAATATTCATCAAACACTTTTCCAACACAATTAAGCAACAATTAACTTTTTTGATTAAATTTTTCATTCCTTGCTTTTATCGATATAGCTGCCATCTAGTGAGTTCAATTAACACTATTTGTATCTTTTCTTGATGTTGGTTTTTGGAGGGAATCACATTTTTAGCTTTTGTTTGCCTTCAAGTCATCTCTTTTCGTGAATCCATATTGCACCTTTAATTATTGATTTTTAACCTTTAAGTTTCCTTTTTTGATTAATTATAGTTTCACTTGTTTGATCAATTATTTGATTTATATGAGGTTTGCTGGTTTGATGAATTACTTTTCATTTGAATCTCTTCTTTGGTTATATCGTCTGTTGTGCTTTTCAATGCTTTGACGTGTTCAATTTTGGATTTCTTATTGATTTAATGAAACTTTCATTATCATTGATTGATTAGTGATTTCTATGGATCTCGCAGATTCACCTGTTAATTTTTAATCTATTATAAATCTTCAATTGTTGTTTCTTGGGACCACAAATTTAATTATTAATGGATATTATCGTTTGCTCATTTTTTCCCATTGGCTTCTTTTGGTAACACCATAAACATCACTAAGATTGATGAAATTAATTTCATTTCTTGACTTTCTTTTTTTTCCTTGTGATTTCTCATAAATTTTGTGTATCTTTTAGCCTTCAACAAAATCTTTTCCTTACCTTTTACTACCTTTTCCGTACCTTTTTTGATGTGCTTTGTCAAAAATTGTTATCATAACAGGGTTACGGATTTTTAATATAACTAGAAACGTTTGAGCAAACTGATATCTTTTATCAAATATAAATGATAATTTGTTCATAAACCTGGAAATGAAACACTGAGCTTATTTGTTATTGTTTTTACTTGAACATTTTGCTTTTCCATTTTCTCTTCTTCTCTCCTAATATTATCATTATTACTGATTCAGCAGCATTTTACTTTTTTTTCTTACATCAACATTGTTTCATCTTTTTTGTTCCTGTGTTCAACCCATTATTACATACATCATCACCATGTTACCTGGAAAGAAAAAGCAAATTATTAGTTTGAGTGAAATCATTTTCTTCATAATTTTCAATTCTTCTTCATAATCATCATCTTTATTTTCATTTTTATCATTGTGAATTAATGCTGAGGCAAGGTGGAAAGCAAAGTGTATCCCAAAAAGTGAAATTGATTTCAATCAAACCTGATTGCATCAATAATGATTCAATCAAACCCTAACCATTTGTTTCACCTCTCAAACCAATATCAAGTTGTATACATTAAACTGGCAACAACAACCAATTTTAAATCTACTTAATTGTTCCTGCTGTGTCTTAATGTTAATCATAACAATAATTTGTTGGCACAACTCTTACAACTTATATACCAAATGAATAATTACCAGTAAATTGGGTTAATATCTTGGCAACATCCGAAAGATTAACCAGAAAATTAGACTTATTTTTATCAATCAAAGTTAATCCTGCCAATTGTAATTCATTAATGATGATGTGACTCTGTGATGATCCCACAAAACATTCAATTTACTGGTGATATTAATAAAGTGACCGCAACCAAATACCAAACATACACAAGAAAAGGCAAACCCAAACAAAGTTACCTTCTAATAAAATGACCAAATTGATTGTCTTGAAGGTAAAGACTGTCAACCCTTGAGGCTGTGTATGGCTGGTTCAAGGTTTCATTGTCATTTTAATAATGTTCATCATGAGATGCTGGTCATGATGAAGATGAAGAAAGCCATTGATGAATGGAAAGTTAAACAAGAAAATGTATGAGATGAAAAATATAAGATCAATTTGAAGGTGATAAAAGACGATCAATAAAAAATATGACAAGGTAAATAGAGGATGAAATCAAAGAGCAAGATGATCATCTTTTCAGTTGACACCAAGAAAAATGAGAAAAATGAATCAACTACAAATGATGAACTAAAATGATAATTAATTTGATTACCACTTGAATTGTAAAAAAATGTGTACAAAACCAGAAAACCTAAAAGCTAGTGAAAAGACATTGAAAGTAACTTCAACATTTCAATTGAAATCACCTTATACTTTCAATATTGCCATTTCACATTTAATCAAAATATTGCATTAATTTTGCTTTTTAGGATTGGAGATGAAGGGCCAAATTATTTAGCCAATCAATTGGACAAAAGTGGGCTTCTTAAGGCTTATCAAGAGTCGATCCGATCAATACTTTACTTGAAACTACTTTGATTTAGCCTTAATCAACCAGCCTTTTAACCTTGATTAGTTGCTTTGCTCTATTTTTTCGTGTCTCTCATGTGATATCGTTAATTTCATTTTAACCACTAGTCTAATCATGTATCATATTTTCATTATTATTGCAATAATCAACTTTGCTTCCATCATGATTTGATTCACTTCATCCAGCTTGGCTAATACATTAATTCAATTCAACTTGCATTGGCATAAATGTACTGATTATTGATCAAAGCTAAACAAGATTCAATGATGTTTCTATAGATTTTTGTTATAAACTTAATTTCATTAGTCAACAAAAGTCAATTGACACAATAAAATGTCAAATTGATATTGAAATTGGGATTAGCCTTTCTTGGGGTTTTCATGGTCAAATAAAAATCTTGACCCGCTATAAATGCATTACATATTGTAAGGTTAAGGATAAGTTTGTATTCAACTTAAAACGATTGTGATTTGTTATCTGAAGCTATCTGTGAATCTGATTGCACTAATTATCATGAAATGCTTCATTTTTAGATGAATAAACAATGGAAAGTAAAACGTAGTTTGAATTTTCTCCACAATTGAATTCAGATTCATGATTGATTTTGAAATTTGCAAATCTCGATAAAATGTATTAAATTTATGTAAGACCTTAGGTCAAGCTTTCAGAGAATTGGATATTTCCAAATCAACAAAGTCAGTCAACAACTGTACTTGCCCTTTTCAGTTTGTCTATTCAATGGCATTTCATTGAAATTTATCGGTATTTCGTATTTTTACGTATTAATGACGGTGAAAAGGTAAAATAGTTGAAACTAAAATCATTTCACCCATTTGTGCTATTAGTTTTGATCAAAGGAAATCTGGTTGACAATCTTGATTTATGCAGTTATCTGCTTCCACCTTTGCTCAAATTGTTACTCACCATAAATTGAGTAAAGAGTTCAATTTTAACTCAAAATGAATCATTTCCACTCACATATGCGTTTGAGATCAACCCAAAGTGATAAATATGAAACTGCATAAAATGACCTTTTCTGTTGGTCATTTCATCTAATTTCTTGTGAAATAATAATGCAAAATTCACTATTAAACTTGAAGTCTAAATCATTAATCAGCTCTTCGGGTTAGATAACCATCATGCAGTGAGTCCAGGTTGAAACCCTCCAAAGTTGCCTTGTAACTCGTTAAATATTTGATATTTCAACTGAAGCTCAAAGGTCCAATTGATCACAATCACCTTAACTCATCAAATTATTCACCTTTACTTGGATTCGTCCAATTTCACGTCCAAACATTTACATTAATAATTGAAAATGAGCGACAATGAGTTTGTCCAAAGAAGCAATTTCAACCCAAACACATTCAGTTTTACCTGAAAGTAAAATTTGAAACCAATTAACATGTTAAAATGATCAAATTGCAACCATTAATTTATTGTAAACACACTTTAACCAAAAGGTAAAATTAAAATCTGTTTTAAACCTAAAATTGTTATTGATTGTTGGTGTTAACCAGTAAAACCATTTGAACCCATAAGTGTATACTTACAGGGTAAATGTCATGTTAGTTGAATAATAAAAATCAATGGAAATGTTGTTAATACCAATTTGAGTTTATTAAAATGAAAACGGTTCATCACTAGGTAACAGTAACAGTAAAAATAACTCAAATGATTACCATTTTTGTTTAGTTGCCTTGTACACAACAACAATAATAACACTAAATACAAATACTTCTCATTCTGATTCTCCTGATTGAACCATTTTACTAACAATCGCCACTCAATCAATACTGACCATTAACACCAGTAACAATTGTCACTCCATATCAATAACAGCCATCAACAACAATTTATTAGCATCACTTTACTTGATTTGTTTTCATTTTCATTTCTAAATTTAACATTTTCACTTTTCCTTGCTCTTCCTCATCTCACCAAACCATCTCAATCGCCAAAACTGATTGTTACTATTAATAGTCTCAACCATTTATTAATATTTATTGATTGACATTAAAATTTAAAACTGTTGTTTACATATTTTGAATCATTTCCCTTGTGGTTCAATATAATGGGCTGTTAATTAATTTTAATTTACTTGCAATCATATTGATTAACTTAATGACTTTTTCAACACAAATTTTGCCTTTCCCTTTTGACTGATTGTTGCTGTTATTAATAAATCACTGTTCAAAGAATAGCAAATGAACAAATTGTTCAATTTTTCAGGGTTAAATTGTTTAAATTTTTGATTGTTTGCCAAACATTAACATTCAAGACTTGCAGTTACAGAAAGTGAGAAATACAAAAAGGTAATTACATATTAGATAATTAGTTTAATATGTAATTCAGTTTCTTGGTTTTTTTGCTCTGCTTTTTCACTGATCTCAGGTTGATTACCTTTGGGTTAATTTGGTTGATGGAAGACACTTTTTTCAAATTAAGATTGAAATTGACTTTCAATTGAAACGGTCAAAAGGCTGTCAATTTAGAGGTGAATAATCAATGTTAGTAAATGAAAGGTTATTAAATTTCAAGATGAACATTTTACAATGAAAGTGACTGCAACTGACAGGATTGTTGTTGATGATTTGAATGATAAATGTGCTTTTTTCATGTTGAGTTTGGTACAATGGAAACCTGAGAAAAGCATAAAATGAAATGATTTTCAGTGAAAATTGTGATGATCAATAGTCAACTGGTCATTTCCACTTTTGACAATTGCAATTGTTCATCGATTGTTCAAGTCTTGAAGGTTGAATATAAGGAAGATGAACTTAAATTTATACCAAAAGGCGAGAATGGACCATCATTTTTTGATCGATTTCGGGTAACATTGAAATTCACTTTTCCTCAAATGACCTTTTCTCAAGTATCAAATCAACCCACATTCAGTTGAAAATGACACTTAATTGTTACCCTGTTTGGTTACAAGGTTGAGTTGAGGTTTTCGTCGTTGAACAATTTTTTTACAAAGATTGTTGACTCGATTCCAGGATGAAAAATTGTACAACTGTAACTGTATTGTAACTGGGAAAAAGAAACGTTTGTCAATCGCTTTTTTTACATTCAACAATCAACTTGTTATATTAGTATTAATCTTACTTTTCATCATTATCAGTGTAAAAATTATTTCTTGAAGTAACCATGAAGATGAGGATAGATACAGAAGATGATTATGAAAGAAACATTTGAAATTAACATAATTTTGTTAACAATTTCTTGGATTGTAGTCAAATGTTGTAAACCCTTAAAGCCTTTTCACAGTTAATTCTCAATTTTTCATTAATGAGGCTTAATTGTTGATGGTTAATATTGTCTTTTCACTTGAAACATTTGATCATTTTCATCAACACAATCATCTAACAATGTTTTGTGATATTATGTTTGAATTTATCATCTTTTTATCGGGTTCATTATTTATTGGTTTTTTTAACCTTGCTTTTGTTGTCATCTTGAAAATGGTTGAGTAAAAGTGATTTTTACTTTGTTTTTACCCTGAAATTGAGTTAACATGGTTAAGAGAAAAGACAAAAGATGATTGTTGATGATGATTATGATGATGAGGGAAAAAAATATCTCCATCTTGGTTGTCAGTATTGATTTGATGGATTAAGCTTTGATGGAGATGGAAGAGGAGGGAAAAGGGTGAGACGTGAAGATGGCCCTCAAGATGATGAAGATAAATTTTGAGTGAAATATATAATAATTCTGTCTCAGTAAATCTGAGATAATAGAATTACTATTAGTTTTTACTTCTTCTTCTTGTTGATAATAGAAATGAAATTGCGAATCATTTTGGCACAACGAAAAGTATTATAACAAGAAATCGGAAGTTAGACTCTGAATTGGGTTCTCCTTTTGCTTCAAATTGTTTTCAAATTTTTCTTCATCATCTTTTCACTTCCACAGGCTCAATGGATTTTCAAGTTTATACGTCAATCCTGGTTGAATAATCTGAGGAGAGAATAAGAGAGAAAGAATGAAAGGATTAGAATTTTTTTGTTCCATTTTTTCACGTCACTTTCTTTTATACTATTGATGAACTTTTTTTTTCTCCATCCCTTAAAGTATCATGTTTTTCGTCATAATTATTGCTTGAAATGACAATGAGTTACTCTGGTTATTATTATTTTCATCGTTATTTTCATTTTGCAGAAATGTTGATGATAATAATGAAGATAAACAAGTTTAACTGATTGTCAATCATCAGCTTTTTTCATTGTACAAGATGGAGAGGAAAAAGATGACAATATTGTTGTTACAGTGATGTCCCAGATAATGGGAATAGGTGGAAATTTTTTTCACTATTTGTCGGTCACTCGAATACATGATTTTCAATCTTTTTTGATACATTGGTTTAGCCTAAAATTATAATTGCTAGCTAAATTATCGAGTTTTTTATTGATATTTCAAGCATTTTAAATAATAACTCACGTTGTCTGGGAAATCACTGTATGTTTATCATGTGTTCAGCACAAAGAGTAAAGTAGTGGAAAAGGCAAAATTAAAGTGCTGTCTTATGACACGGGATGACTGTTCGCAATTTTAATTGCAATTGCGGTTATCGAGTGATAAATTGTTTATCTCATTTTTTATCAATTTTTCCATCGGTGTCAGCCTGTGAGAAAAGACGATACTTCAATTTTTCCTTTTCACACTGCAGTCTCTCTTCAGTTAGTAGGTTTTCAGCGGGTAGGTTAAAAAGTAAGGTTTTTATCTACGAAACGAGTTCAGGTAACTTCATTTTCAAACGATGTGCAAATTCAATCATAATAAAATATAAAAAGTTACTTACTGAATTTTGGTTATCTCCCAATCAACTTATTGTTCTGGCTGGAAAATAGCCTTCGGATCACCCTTAAATATTCTGAATTTCAAATAACTGCACTAAAACGACTTTGACATTCATTTGATCAATCTTGAAAATTCGGTGTCGGAGGCCAAATTTGAACCTTTGTATCAAATTTTTTGAATAGCTGATCAGGAATTTACGATAAAGCTCACCAATACAAAGTAACAACTTGCTCTGACTAGTAGTTATCGAGATATTTGAGTGCAAAGTTTGAGCTACCTTGGAGGAAGACCTTGTACTTTACTCTTTGCTTTAACATTATTACATAATGCTGATGAAAATTTTTCTCACTTTCTTGACCAAAAAAGTAAATAAAGGGGAAAATAGGTGAAATTTGACTTGATTTTCATTTGTTGTCTTCCTCTCATCGTATTTTCTTTCGTATTCTTTACATGTTAGCCTTGCTGGTCCTCGTCTTTAGGGGCACTTTTGGTGAAGAGTGGCGTCAAGTAGAAAAACCAATATTATGGGGAGAAAAGTGAAAATGTATATTATGATGATGATGATGATGATGGAAAAGTGAGCCTCTTGAAGGGGAAATCTCGATAGGGAAACCATTTTTTATACCTTTGCTTTTTGCCATGCAGTTGCGTAGTTGTAGAGTTGCTGCATGATGATGATTATGATGATGAAAGAGGGAGCCTCAATGACAATGTCTAGTATCGTCATCAACATCATCATTATCATCATCATGTATTGAGCATCATTCAACTTTCAACTCAACTTGAATACACGACAACTCTCATTCCAATGGTTTTTTTGTATATGAAGATAAACAAAGAAAAAAACTAACTCTAAATGTATTTAACACGTTGTATGTAATTAGTGAGGCACACAGAGTAAAGTCAATTGATGATGGAAGGAAACCTTTTGCTACCATCATCGTCATCGTCATCATCACCATTAACTCGGTCGTCTTCGTCATCTTCTTCACCCTTCACTTGTTCACCATTACAAGCTCCAAATGATCATGTAATTTGCACCAGTGTGATATGGTTGTGCTAAAGTTTTTCCCAGTGTTTGGTTAAATAATCTTGAATATATCTCCAATCAACAGCCAACATCACAGCAACCATAGTTTGTTTAACAAGGCAAAATCTCTTTTTATCTAGTCTCACCAGTTTCATTTGTCTTTACAGTGTCTCTCTCCATAATAACATGATTTATCGTTAAAGTTGTTGCCATTTATGAGTGATTAACATTATTAAAACCAACCCGGAGTTGCCTTCAATATGATTTTAATTACCACCAGTTGTCATTAATACCATTTGTTAACCAGTAAAACCTAACAAAAAAAGGTATAAATAGTTAAATGAGAATCAAATAAGACACTACAAAAAACAAGGATAAATTTGGAGACGAAAAAAAAACGTGTTTACTTACATTCTCTGTGTAGTGTGTTATGCTGATGATGACGATTTGATTGATCCTGGTGAATTGGTGTTGACAATTGTTAACCCTCAACGTGTAAACTATTATAATCAAAGTGAATTAAACAAAAAGTAGAAAAAAATTAAATTAAAAATTACACAAAAAGCCTAATAAACCAGAAGTGAATAGAGCAAAGTTTAAGATGGCGACTCTCGAAAGACCTTATTAGTCAATGAAGGAGTTAAACAAAGGAAAGCATAAATGACATAAAGTTAACCAGATTTATGCTTTGTATACCTAATAGTGCTCTTTATGCTTCTAATCGCCGGCTCTTCAGCCTCATGACAACAACCATTAATGTATCTCATTTAATTGTTTAATATATATCCTTTACTCAGTCAATTTTAATCAGCTTAATTTTTATCTCTTCACAACATTCAATCATCAATCTAAATTGTGTAATAATTGTTCCCATTATATCGTTGAAAACAAATGTTTTAATTATTGTGTACTTTCCAATCATCTTTACCAATTGTTACCAAAAAGCTAACCAGAAAACAAAAAGCAAAACCAAAACAAATGCTATGTCTGTTATGCATTACAAAGCAAAAAGCTTCAACCCAAAGTAATATATCCATGTTAACGTTTTAATTTAATTTTATTGCTGTTAATTGTTTTAATTTAAACATTTTAAGTTATTTCTCAAGTTTTTCATTTATCATAATTTATTGTTGCTTGTATCAACATATTATTTTACAAGCTTGCAACAACCAAAACAAAGCAAAAACGCAAATCATATCAACAATAATCAAAAACAATGCTCAAAAGAGTCAATTCACATTTCAAAGTTCGTAAACCCAATTTCCTAGAGGTTGGATTAACTCCGGTAAGATGTCAATTTAACCATTCCATATTAAACCATGATAATGATGAAAATGTTGATGATCCTAAAATACAAATGACATGTTACATGATTACATACAGAAAAAAAATTGATGATTGATTTGCTGATGTTGCAGTAGCCAGTTTTATCAACTGGTTACTTCCAATTACCATCAGCCTAGTCATCATGATCATCCTTCTCATCAAAATTATGAATTACCTTGATTTAATGTAATATTTTTCATGAAATGACTAAAAAGCATAAATTGGTATATAATTAAATGATCTGTAAATCATCCTTTAAGACCAATTATTGGATGAGAAAAGCAAAAAAACAAAACCCTTTCATTAGAAGCGCCTTGTCTCAATTGAAGCGCAATTTATAAATTTCAATTGTAACACTTTTACATTTACAAATTATCTATGGCTATCAATCTAAATGGTTTACCATTGAAATTATTAGCATTACTTAAGTGGCATTGATCGACTATTAAAAACAGGTTATCATGTCCCTTCAATATCCAATAATGAATATATCATTTTGCAATTTACCTTTCAAATGATTGATCATTTTTATCCCTATCATTTGTAACCTTTCATCATCGTCATCATCCTAGTAGTCATCATGTTTCTATGTTTACCTTTTGCTATTCACCTGTTGATTGTAAACAAATTAGATTACAAACAAAAAGCTGAAAACAGCACAAAAAAAGGCCACAAGTAAATACTCTTAAATGACTATTTAGTTTTCATTGTCTTAGTTACTTGAAATAACTATTGTTATGTTCAAGTTGGGTTGATTAAAATGACTAGATTAATAGGTTAATTGAAAAGGTAGAGAGTAAACAATTATTAAAAAACCATTAACAAGTCTAATACTTGTAACTGCTAATATCAAAGGGATAATCAACATTTTCAAATATTTTGATTATTGATTATTTCATTTGTCTATTGATTTAAGATTAAAAATTTACTTCAACAATTTAAATTGCTATTCATGGTCAATAGAGTCAATTTTACTGTAAACCCGATTCCTTTAGTTACATGTATTTTTCAAGCTCTTCAAGCTTTAACCGTTTTTTGAAGTCAATTGATTGATTTGTTAATTTTAATTTTGATTTCTTGTTCTTAGGCTCATCGAAGTAAGAGTTTAACTCAAATTGATTGTCTTGAACCTCCACCGTCTCAAAGGTTGATGAAAGGTGATGGACTTGGTGCAAGCGGTGTCAATATTAGCAACACTCCTGGATCGGGTTCAACTGGTACAGTGTCTGGTGCTGGTGGAGTAAGTGATAGTCAACAACAGCAACATCACCAGAAAAGGTCGCCATCAAAATGTGACTCTTCACCTGAATCAGGGGCTACACTTTTAAGTGATCTTCATTATTCAAGTGATCGCCTTGTTGTTCCAAGTTATCATCATGCCTCTTCATTGGGCCTTGATGAGGAAGATACGACTTTATCGCGTTTTAAAAACGTTTCCCAACAACAACATCATCCCCAACAACAGCAACAACAACACCATCATCAACAACAATCTTCACAACAACAACATCAACATCATCCTCAACTTCATCATCATCATTCTTCATCCTCAATGGTAAGCCTCCATTTATCATACCTTGCATAATGAATTGTAATGAACCAGACATCTGGTTGAGTACCAATAAATGTCCCTTTTTAAGGTGAAACCTAAAGTGAAACCCAAAATTTATTTGGATCTAATCAACTTAGAGCATCAAATTTACTCTCAATTTAATAGTTTAGATGCTGTCTATCTCATGTTAAGTAACTCAATGATTTACCATTAAACTTTCAACTTTGTTTATCAACGCAATTCACTGTAGTTTGAAAATTTACCTCAATGATTAACTGCAAGATCAAATTAGCTTTCCTTTCCTCTCAATGAATCTCGGTATGTTTTTAATTATCACAAAAGGTTTTCCCATGAAATTGATAGGGAAATGGAAGAAAACATTTCACCAAAGTTGACCTAGAAAAAGGATGAGGAAAAAAGCAATATCGTTTGAACAATTGGTTGAAATTTTGATAATATCGATGAGAATCTAATTTAGTGAACATTAAATTACACATTAACCAACCAGATTATGCAGTGATGTGTTTCCAACTAGGTTACACATTAAAAGCCTTCAAAGGTGCTTTGTCATAAAAACATGAATAATGTTTAGAGTTGGAAATTAAAATTATAATAAAATCAACTTTAACCATCAACATTGTGATAATCAGATCAGTCTCTCTATAATGCAAAGCTAATGATCCAAATAAACTTTGGGTTTACCTTTGAGCCTAATGAACATTTAAACCCAATTTTATATTAACATGTTAAAGAGTCGATCACTTTCCAGCTGACAGTTGAAACATTTACTATCATGTGTTGTGATGATGAGGCAGATGAACATTTCAAGACAATGACATGATTATTGTGAATCCGTGATATTAATTGCTTGTGACACATTAAATAGAACAGTGTTTAAGAAAATAAAATATGTCATTCATTTGTCTTTTTCCTGGTCCATCTTGATCATCATCATCTTCACCTTTTCATCTTTTACTCTGTGTATCATCAAAGGTTAATCAAAGGTACAAACCTGGCAATAAACGGCAATCCACTTTGAATGAGCATTTTGTTCATCAATCAACTGTTAACCAAATTGATGACAATTTAATTTGATTGAAATGTTTTGCGTTTATTATTGTTTTCCCTTTCAATCCCTTTACACTATTTAATCTCAATTTTTTCGTTGATACCAACAATTTAACTCAATTGTAGATCGTTTGATTATCCACAAAGAAGAAGATGAAATAATGATTCTGTTGAAACAAGAAAAATGCTCAACAGAAACAATCATCGCTGGATAAATGTTAAATGTTAAACCAAGCTTATCATTTAATGTTATACCAGTTTTACCCAAAATGACAACAATCATGTTTAATTTGTTTCCATTTTGGTGACATCAAACTTGAATAATCATGAAACTGTTTCACCCAGACAACAGGCTTTCAAAAATTGAATGAAAAACAAAGTTCAATATCATTGTCAATGTCAATCCTGGAAGCACACCAAAAAAAACTAATCAATTTTAATCAACATCAGTTAACCTTTTAACCAAATTTTCCCATTGACCAATGTGAATATTGAAACATTGAATGAACCCAATCTTTATCATAACCATGAAACGTTTGAAAAGCAATTGAATAAACATTCGCTTCAATGGAAACAAGTTCAACATTTTGTATTCAATTGTTGTTTTGTTTTTTCTTGTCCTTTCAAAACTCCCAGTAAAGGCCACTTTTTCACTCCACTTGTGTTCACTGAATTTGTGTAACTTGAAAGATTTTATATACTTCTTGTCACTGAGTAAATTTTTCATTCCTTATCTCAGGGAAAATGACGATTCAAATGCAAGTTTTCATCGAGGATAAAATGGAAACTTTTAAAAAATTTGTCTCACTGTTTTTGTTTGATAGGTAAAATTGATGTTGAACATGATGATAAATGTGAACACTTTTTTTCCTCTTCTCATGTAATTCAGTTATTGCTATTCAAAAGTTTATTTCTTTTTTTGCTTCCTTTTCTTTATTCATAAATCAAGATGATGAAAATGTATAAGATGATGAGGAACCATCAATCATTCATAGCATGCTATTAATCTTGAGATTGTCATAATTACATGAAAATGTGTCCAACATTTGATGAACAACAACAAAAATAAAAGTAAAGTAAAAACAAAACATTTTCATGTTTCCACCAATCATCAAATGTTCACAATTTGTATCAACATTATCATGCTACTGAATGTTAAATGGTTACATTTTAATTGTCAACAATTACTGTCTTGAAGGTTGTTCATTTGATTGATTGTTTCAATCGTCTTTTAAATCAACATTTCATTTAATATTAAAATCAATTTTTCATTTCAACATAATTGCCCTTTGAGATTACTTTTCATAAATGATCTGAAACTGTTTCGCCAACGTCTTCATCATCACTCACAATATCAAAACTCAATTCACTTTTTACACCGAATCATTGTTTCAAATGATTTATCAATTTGTGAGATGGAATTTTCGTTCAGACAAAACTTAATAACAACCAGATATGATATTGATTATGATGGAGTAGTTGATGAAGTTTACCATGTTATTGATTTGAATAACATTTTCTGTTTTCTTTGCATTTGTGAAAATAAAATGCAAAAAAATGTTTAACACAAGCTGTTGATTGAGAGTAAGTTTAAGTTGATAAAAAACCTGAAAATCCATTATTATCATCTGAGTATCATATCAAGTTGAACTATTAGCTGAGTCTATCAGGGAATGGAAACAGCAGGAAGTTAAATTTTGAAAATAATGTGAAAGTGAATAACGTTTGATGAGTTGTAATGAAAAGGGAAGGAAAGCTGAAAATTGAAATGCAGAAAAAAAGTGTTTCATATTATTAAATATCCATCCATATGATAACAGTTAATTAAAAGATGACACCAAATTAAACTGGTAATGGTTTACCTTGATGAACAGTTTAAACCGCAATTTAACTCAACAATTTAACATCGGTTGAGACACTTTTTAAAGCATCTTTTAAAGCAAATCAAGAGCCACTTTTGGGTTATCCAATTGATCCTCAACATTCTGGTTGTTTGGATTAAACCTTTTGTGACTGTTTTTTGGTGAAAATGTTTAGAATTGAAATTTGCTTTTTTATCAAAAGTTGAAACTTGATAGATTGTTTCATGGAATTGAATTAATCCAATGATTTTGCTCGACAAAACCACTTTAACAGACATACTTTACAATATAACTCAAGGCAAGTTTTTGGGTTTAACCAAAACCAAGAAGAAAAAATTGTTTCATATTTTTCAATATTTTTTGTAAGTAAAATATTCATCAAAATTCATCAAAATTCAATGTTTCTTTTTCTCTCTCTACTTTCATTTCATTTGTTTCGTCTCGTTGGATATTGATTTACTTTGCAAATACGTTTTTTAACCTTTTCAAATGGTCTCACGAGATTTGTGTCAAATTTTGGCTTTGCTTTACTGTTATTGCCATAATTAACGCCAATTGAATCAAATTAATGTAATATTGTAATTAGTAATTTGATATTTTTCCCTGTTAATCATGAGTCTATGGATGAATGGGGGAAAAGATGATAAGCTTTTGCAGTGTGTTAAATATTTGCATCTGTTCATACTTGTGAAAGAAAGTGAAATATGAGATTTTACCTTCAATTATTTGTGACTTTATTTCATTTGAATTTCAGTTTTAGTTTTCATTCCCATTGGAGTTATCAAGATTTTATTGTTAAGTGATAAATTTTCACAATTTAACTCTTCATTTTGAGTGTGTGTGTTAGGTGTTCAGATTGTAAAATAGTTAACTGGCATCAATTATTCATTCAATTTTCAATAATGTAAAGGTTAACTTAACAAGATGATTTGTTATTTATGAGGAAAGGCATTCACAAGGCGTCAAAAAAGTGCAATCATTTGATATTTATTTTTATTGTTTGATATTATTTGTTGTTGTTGATCATTTCAATTGATAAATGGTTCAATATTTGATGAATATATTTATGTAAATAACATTCATCTTTAATCTCTATATTGCATCTTGAAAATTTCAGCTCAATAAAGAGCATTATAGCTTTTAAATTGCTTTCCAACGATAAACATCATTATTGTTCACCTCTTAATTGTTCAATAAAACAGGACAAATGTGAAGATGTGATGAAACTCATTCAGGATCGTATCAGATGACATGAAACTATGAAATGTTTCAGTCTTTGGTTATTCAGTAATGCTAATCAAAGCCATAAGTTGAATATGGACCAAGAATCGGTTTTGTGTTATCATTGGGTTTAAAGCAATGAATATGAACAATAAGCCAATATTGAGTTAAATCTAGAAATTTGTTTTCTAAATTGCAACTGAATGACTCTGATTTCAAGTCAACTAATAAGTGGAGCTTGTGAAATGAACGATTGGTTTCGATATCTGAAAATTTTACTTTGATTGAAATGCGATTTTTACAATTCTAGTCGATATGTTCAACTGTCTTTATTGCATTAAAGCAATTCAAATTTGATGAAAATTCCCATTGAAGTGTCAATTGTTTCTTGAATTTTCACTTTTTTTCAAATCAACTTTGGGCTTGACTTTTATTAACTGTATTTAGATTGATTGAAAATGGTAAGAATCAAACTGAGATCTAAATCTGCCACTGATTGCGATTTTAGATTTATATTCAATACTTTTCCAACTTTCATCTTAGCCACGTTTCAACGTTAAATGAGCAATTTTTATTGTAAAGCATATTGAACATGACAGACACTGAAAGTCCAATTGTAACCCTTTAAATGGGTCTTACAATGAGTCGATCAATTGAATGTGACACTATGAGGGAAACAAAAATCAATATTAATTTCTTACATTCGCCTATTTTTCTTGGTTCCCTTCAACTTTCAATTGTTATTCAATATGTTTCCCATTCAACTGTTTCTCCAGTGTCTGATAAAGCAAGATTGATAACCGGAAATATTGGACAATTTGATTGATTGTTTCCAATGATTATTATTAATTTATCCATAGTCTTATTGGCCCTTGATTGGCCTGAAAAAGCAAAATCAAATGATAACAGAAAGCGATCAAGTTGACCAAAAATAAGCAAAACAATTTTCTCACCTCAACAATTAAAACCAGACTCGGTCCACATTAAACACAATTTTTGACAATAAAAGCTCAACATGAAAGTGATTTTTTCAAAGAAATGAAAAAATTGTAAAAAATATCTTTATATTTGACGATCTGAACAACAAAAAATGTATATAAATATAAATCAAAAGTGGAAACAACAGGAAAAACATTTCACTGATAATGCACTAAAAGTAGTTACAAGAGATGAATGATTCAAGTTAAAAAGCAAGCAAAAAATTGGTGACATTTAAAGTGATAACAACTTTAGGATCCATTTTTGTTCACTGGCCAAACTTGGACCTTTGAAGAGGCCAAAATTTATGGATCTAGTGAGTCAACTGAATGACCATGATGAGGTTTGAATTTAAGTGTCCAAGTTGACTGAGATTGAGAAGAAAGTGTCTCTTTATCCCAAACCTTTTCTAGTTTAACCTTTTTTTTATCACTTTTATTGGCATCTTTGTGTGCCTTTAAAGCCATTCAGTTTACCTTGAGTTTGATGTTATTAAAAACCATTATGACCAGTTGAAAGAAGACCATGAAAAGTTGAAATGATGAAGAAAAATATGGCCAATATACACTTGAATTGGACAACTGGAACAAAAGTTATACAATGGTTGCCACTCTGTGGTCACTTTGGGTTCAACTTTTTTGTTTGTCCCAAAAATTTCAACTTTTCATTTTCACTTCTTCTTAATAATGGGAACAAAAGTGAACAATGAAAAGATATTTGAGTGAAAAAAAAGACTGACGATAAGTGATTCTTTTGTTTGGAAACGATAATGATTTTTGAGGCAAAATAAAGTTATCTCATGAAACTGAGCTTTTCATTCTGGGATTGACAAGTTTTTACTCTTAGTCGTCAATTTCATTTCAATTGTTTTCATATTGATAATAGAAATATTATTCATGATTGAGAAGCTTTTGTTCATTTTTTTCTTGTATTTATTGAATTTCAGTTTATATCTTCTTTCCATGATACATTATCAAGAGAAATTTGTACTGAATTCCAATGAATTTTTGAAACTGCAAAATGAAATGCTCTTCTTTTTATATCTTAATTTGAATTAAAATTGTAAAATTGCTAGGAGATGAGTTTTGTTTTGTGTGGCAAAATGCAATTGCTTGTGGGTTTTGATATCAGATTATCAAGACAATCGGAATGACTGGGAGTTTTTGTTATTGTCAAAGTATTTTTGTCTTCTTTTCTTGTGAACTTTTCTTTTGATAGAAAGTTGTAAATTGTCGTCATTCCCTGTCATTGATATGCATATAAAAGGGAATAGTTTTTTCTTCTTCTTCTTCTGTTTGTCAGTTTAGTTGTTCATTTTGATTGTAGTGAAATGAGTAAAAATAAGACATGAAGATAGGGAGAATGAAAGAAGAGAATAATTAAATTGGTTTCTATCCAAATGGTTAATTGCTCACCCATGGATTGACATTAGCAATTAGTGTTTAAAGAATGAACATTATATAGCAACAGGAATTAAAGGAATGGGCAGGGAATGATGATGATAATGATGTATATAGTGAGGCAAGATGATGAAAAGATTTGGAAGACAACAGCAGAAAAAAATGAATACTAACTTGTGTATTAGAAATGATTATGTCAAATTTAATTATTTTTACTTGGATGAGAGCAACATTGCGTGAGAATGGTTCCGGATGATATGGATGAGAAGATGAAAATTAAGGAAGAAATCAGAATTGTTCAGTAAAAGGATGATGAAAGTAAAGTTTACGGAGAAATGTCTTCATCTATGTTACATTCACTGGGACGAGCAACTTTGATGGGTTGAGAGATGACTCTTTGCTTAACCATTGACAGTGAAAAATGCGGTAAAAGTATTGAGTTTTCAACGAGTCAATGACTCGACTAAATGCTGTATTTGATCGGTCGATGGTTGACTTGTTAGGTTGAGAGATTCATAACATTTAGCCTGACAGTGAACACTGATCAAGTTGATTAAGATAATCTTTTCATGCGTAAAATACCCAATCTTTACATTAAAAGTGATGCTATGATGTTGACTCTGTTAGGTTGAGGTATTCCTTGCTCTTGGCCTAAGCAAACTTGGATGAAGACTTGGTTAGGTAATTATGATAAGGTTAATTATGGAAATGTTTATCAAGTTAATTTAATTAAAATTAGTTAATTTTGTTGTTGAAAATGATGTTGATTTGATTATCGATTGGGGAAAGGTTTAATTTCTGAGAATCACTTTTTTTCACTTCTTAATCAAAATTTGTGTTCACTCTATTTTGGGCTTACTTTTTGCTTCTTCTGGTTCAATGTCAGATGAACAAAATATTGCCAAAATGAATAATAAAGAAGAGGCAAAAGATTATTATATAAGAATCATCTTATTGCATGGTTGAACATTTCAATGCTATCATTATTATTCCTCTTCTCATGAAGTAAAGAAAAAATTTGATGCATTTTTCAATCTCTAGACTTGAAAATCTTCATTTTATAGTTAATGATTGTTTCTTATACCATTTTTTATTTGTTATTTTATAGATATTTTTGTTAGATGCATTTAACGTCATCAAAATAATTCTGGTGTTAACATATTTCGATTTAATATCTTACAACTCTTCAACCCTTTTCCCTCATATTTATACTTGGTTTCATTATCCAAAGATATTCCGTTTCTGATACAGTTTAACATTCAACTTATCCAACCATTGATTAACATGTTAATATAAGATTTTTTCATTCAAAATTACGATGAAAATTTTTTTCTAACTTTTCCCTTTTACCTTTCATTTCAGCTATCACATCATGATAATTTAACATCGAGCCTTGATCAATACAAACCTGAAGATGTAATTTTATCCCGAGGATTTCAATCAACAGGGTAAGTCATTTCAAGATTCAGTTGTCAATGAATTTAATTTCACCTCAATCTTGTTAATATCCAAGTGTCGAGTTAATGAAAAAAGTGTTTAAAAAGGGTTCCTTAAACTATAAGCTAATTCAAGTGTTATAACATTGTCATCATCTTATTAAGAGTCTAGTTAATGAACATCCACCTTTGCCTATTATCATTTAACTTTGATTGTCTAGTAACTGCATTTGGTTTATTAATTTTCATCGTTATTAAATTGTATTAACGTAATCTATTATATTATCAAAGGTTTTCCAGTAAACAATTTACAGTATAAAAGGTAAAGTGGTGTGAAAATGATGAGGAAAATTAATTTAACTATAAACGTATTAGCCTTTGATACAGATAATAATAACCTATTGTATATGTGAATATTTACATCAACAATTTTTAACAAGAGAAGTTCAAGTTTTGTTTCCATTGTTGTTTAAATTGTTTAGTTTCTCCACTCAAAGATAATTCAATATATTATCATCTCGACACTTTGTTATCCTCCATCCTCATCCTTCATCTTTACATCTCATTTTTCTTCACACTTTTTCCCTTCCTTTTCTTTAAGAAATATCAACTAATTCAATCGAAATTTCAGCAAAATTTTCAGATAACTTTGACCTTTTTTTGTTAATATTTATGTCTTGTTTACATTGGCTTCTCAGTCTTTTCCTCCATTACTTGTCAACCATGAATCAATAAACAGGGGACAACATGAAATTTACATTATTAAATCTATTTGTTGCTTCCTCATGATGATGGCAGTGACGAAAGTAGATGAGCAAAATGGCTTTTGTTTGAAATTGAAATTTTGTATCACTTTACTTTTAAAGTTGAATATTGATTCTCCCAAAATTTCCTGTTTTATCTCGATAATGAGAATACTGAATAATGAATATTGGAAATTAGATGTAATCTAAATAGTTAAGAGAAACGAGAAATTAGATTAAATGAGGTGTAATGAATGAATTGGATGCTCTGATTATCCGATTTGTGTGAAAGTAAGGCAAAGACGATTAAGCTTTAGTAACAAAGGCTTTTACTTTGCTTCCTCCATCGAGATGATTACTTACTCCTTGCCTATTGAGTTTTCTTGGTTAATTTCTTGATCTTATTTTGATTATCACATTTTAACAGGAACCCGAAAATATAGCCAACAAAATAGATGAAGAGTGAGAGGCAAAAACAATGACAGTAATGAGTTGAAGGGAAACCATTGCGACCATTATCTTGTTTCAGGATTGACCATTTTGGTTTTTGCCTGATTTGCCTTGTATAAGAAAGAAACAATTAGAGTTAATTAAGGTCAGATGCAAATTGTAGGATAGTAGAGCAAAACTAATATATAAGATACAATGTTGAATAACATGTTTTTATTACCTTGCAAGTCTTTGATCAAAAGCATGGACTTTTAATACTTTCATATTGGTCATCTTGGATTCCATATTGTTTTACAATCCAGTCACAAAATTTCATCCTTTTTACAATCTTTTTACAATCTTTTGTCATTCTTGTTCTTCTTTCAGCCCTAATATTATTCTCAATCTTGTTTAGATTCTCGCAAATTTGCCTCAGTAGGGTTTTCTTGCATTATTATTTAGCTTGATCGATAACAAAAGTATCAGCTGAATAAAAAAATTCAAGAAAAAGGTCGATTCACATCGATCCAATTCTCTTTTTTCTCTTCTTCTTTTTTTATTTCTATTCTTATTTTCGTCTTCCCTATCTTTATCTTTCTTTCCTTTCCATATTTATATCTAAAGAAATTCAAGGAAGAGAAAAGACAGGGAGAGAAAGAGAAAAACCTTGAGGCTCAATGAGAAATAGTGGAAGAACATGAGTGAACAAGCGATTCATATTGACTAGAGTTCCCTTGAGTTGGATGGAAAAAATTCATTCCTTCCTTTGATTCCCTTCATGCTTTTGACTCTTTCCATAAACACAACCAATGATATCTTTCCTTTTCTTATTTTTCCTTCTCCTTCTCAACACCAATGGAAGAAGAAGGTTTATACTTTCATTTGGCGTTGCTTCAATCAAGTGTAAAAACCAGTCTAAATACAGATAGCAATCAGGAAGACCAAGTAATATGTATCAGTTGTATAAGAAGTCTTTTCATGTCCCATGTCTGTGAAGTTGGTCTATTTGTTTGTTTGCTCCATCCTCATCTGAACAAGAATAAGATGAAAGTGAAAATAAGGAGAACCAGAAAAGGGCAAAAGAAAAGATATGAACATACAAAGACAAATACAATCACAAAAAAAGGAGTAAGTGAAAGATTTATCTCATCAAGAAAAAAAGAGAGAAGTGAGATGATAAGAATAGGAAGAGAGGAAGATGAAACAGGATGGAATTTTGATAAAAGTATATTTACCAATTGATCTATTTGTGTGTATTAATACACAGTGTGGAGGTAGAAATGTTTCCTGAGTATCCTCCAATATTACCATGTCAGTTAATCGTTTTCATTTCACCTTTTTTTGTTCTTTTCTTCTCCACGGTTCTTGATAATATCTTTATCCATGCTTCCTTGAATGGTCCAGTTCCACTGAGTTATCCAATTGATTAGAGTCCAGCATACTTTGATGGTAAAGTTTCTTTCCTCAGGAATGATAACTAAGAAAATAGATAATAATAATAATAATAATACTTCAATATTATTAGATGATAGGTAAACATGATCAGGTTTTGTCGAGTTTTTTTTTCTTCACAAAAAAAACCTTGATATTCATTATAAGTCATTACTTTTATATCAAGTGTAAGCTATATTAATTGATTTCAAAATGATCAATAACATTACAAAAGTGCAATTTAAATCTAACTTAACTGATAGGAAACAATTCATCTTCTGAAGAGACTGATGTATTTGATAAATGTTACACACTATTTGAACGTTATCATAAGTTGCAATTTTTCTGCTACACAAATCATAACATTATATTTTGCTCCTTTTTTCCTTCCCTTTCAACTATCAAACTACTCGGAATAAATCACTCAAAATAACATGAAAAATATCTGGTTCATTCAGTTTTTGAAGAAAACAAAAAACGATGAAACAAGAATCAAAAAATTAACTTAAGAGGCTTCTTTTAAACCACTCAACTTTGAAACAATCAAGTAGCATTACAAACTTTTTAGACACTATTCAATGACCATTGATTTATTTGCTGTAAAAATTGCAGCCACCTTCAACACCTTAACACTGATATTGTGTTCATTAAGATCCGATTAGAACCCATTTTAGACTCTTGGAGCAATCACTGAAATCGCTGTTATCATCTTTCTTTACTTTCACTATTCCATTATTGCTGATTTTATATTAATATTTCCTCTTTTCACCATCTTTGCCATTAATCTCCTCTTTTATATTGAAGTCAATTTTCACTTTTATCCTTGAAGCTTATTTCTTGTCCTATTGTTTCACTTTTTGCTGATTAATTGGTATCAATTTTCCAGCTTTCCTTCGTCATCTTGTTCTTAAGCATAATCTGAAACAATAAACAATTTGATATGTTAACATTAATATTATAACATTTAACTCTATTACTGACTAAAAACCTTACCAATTATTAGTTGAACCAACAGCTACCATAAAGTAATAAATAATTGTGTCCAGTCTTGGTTAAAGGTAATCATCATAAACATCAAACTTATTTCTTCCTTCAACATGTTAATCTACCCCTTTAATTGAAATTGTTGTCCTCTTTTTTTGCTCAATGTTTACAGCTTTCCAAATGTTTCTCCTGTTAACTTTCAAATCTTGAGTTCATGATACAGTTTATCTGGGTTTACTGTTTCTAATCAATATATTGGTCCAGGTTAAGTATAATAAAATAGTTTAGGAAAGTTCCATGTCACTTGTTAGCTGAACATTCAACTTTGAATCTTATATTGTTTGTAATATAAACTGTTTACTAGAAACAGTTTTCTGTCAAACGTTGTAAAACTTTTCTCTTTTCCTATTTCACTTCCAATCAATCAGGGTTGAATCAGCTTGCACTATTTTTTTAATCTGATTGTTCAGCTACTATTCCAATAGTCGAAGTAAGCGAAGGGGCCAAAAATTCTGGAAATTGCATTGTCATCGTTTTGAAAACCAATTATTATGCACCAACCTGTGAATGGATGTAAAAATATTATGTTAATTTTGTTACATTGATCTGCTTTTAAAATTCGGTGAGAATCGACGATAAAACTTCTCATTGCAATGATCAAGGTAAATTGATCTATTGAGTTGTGTGATTAAAAGATCATCAGAGTGTAGAAACAAAAATTAAGGTCAATAATAAGGCAAAACAAACCTTCTTCATCTTTAAATGATTTAGCTAATTCACTAAAGAAGGATAAACCTCAAATCATAAACCGTCCCATAGATAATTGATGATGATGATGATGATTGAACGAGTTGCAACTTCACTAGATTTCACTCATTGGACTGATAAATCAGGTTGATAAAAATATTTTCATCTGATGCTTTTTCCATTTGATCCTTCGCTAGATATGCACAGACCTTTTCTTGATATTTCCAAGAGAAACTACGAGTGATTCCAATAATCAGGTTCCATTGACTTTCCATTGTTGGTTAGTTAATTGATTCAGCAAAAAGTAGATAAATTAAGATGAAACAGAGCAAGTGAAATGATAAATCAGAAAAGGTCAAACGATTAATTGATTTGCAGAATATTTAGACTTGTAATGTTTGCAATGTTTGTCTTTATCGACATCCATATATTAAATGCAAATTAAATGTATTCACGAGAAGATGATCTACCAAACGTGGTGATGACCTGGAAGTTAGTTTTTTCTCATCGTCATCACTATCATCAACCTTTAGTAAACAGTTATCCATTCAATTGTAAACCAATTTCAATAGTAATACTTGATTCAGCAATTGCTCCATTATCATCATTATCATTTGAATTAGCATTAATATCAGGCAATAGAAGTAATGTTTAATACCAGTTAGGCGTAAAATACATGAACAAATATCAGTGACTGCGATAAAAATTCATTTATACTCCGCATCAGAATAATACACCAGGCTAATGTACCATGTATCAATGTGTGACAATGCAAAAAAGTTGGACCAGCGTTAAAGGGTGTAAAATCCTGAGCAAACTGCAAGTATAAACAGAATTAAATCAGCAATGATTGAAAAATCAGGAATGTTGAACTAATACAATAAAAGGAACAACTATCATGATTAGCATGAGCTGCTATAGTGAAAATTCTTGACTTACATAAATCTTACATTTGGAATGGTCATAAGATCATGAGTTTTTCCCTCTTTCCTCATTGAATGGTGGCCAGGGTTAGATTTTGGAGCAATTTTGATGTTCATTCCAGCTTGATTAACCATAATAATGTAAAAGATTACAAGTCCATGATGATCTCGTCTATCGCCTGAAAGAAACGCGAAAAGGATAAACTGTATTAGCAAACGTTGAATAGGTTTGGCTTATCCAGCTGTAAGATTCTTACATGAAGCTCAAGAATTTTTTGCTTCATTTCTATTTAAAATGTAATTAATTAGTTAATACTTACTTTATTTTTTGGCATTCACTTTAATTCCATCTAAATATTAAATGATAGGGAAAATAATCCATAAAATTGATAGTGATTACATGATAGATCGAGGTTTGCTTGAACTAGACAAGGCTTTTAGGATAAGCTTTGGTCAGGTGATTAATAGAGCGAAAAGAAAGACAAAGAAAATGGTGGATTTAGTGGATGACAGTTGATTATTGTGAGTAAAGATTATCTTAAACCTTCTTAAGACAAAAGTAATAACAATTTATGTATTAAAGCATTTACCAAATTTTTAATTAAGAACACACAAAATGCCTAACAGTTGCAGGTTTTGATTATTGACCAGTCTTGTTTGAAGAAGGCTTTTCAAAATGAAAACCAACGAAATTTTAAAGTTGACCTAAAATTTCACTCCTTTAAGGTTTTGTGGAATTGCTTTCAGTTTCTTGACCATGTACACAGATAAATTATTATTATTAGAACAATAAAATGAAATAAATGTTGATATTTTATACTTACCTATTGACCAATGTACATTTCAAGAGCAGTTGATGGAACATTGAACAAAGATTAAAATTATTCACATTCCATTGCATCTAATCCGTTTGCTATTGCCATTGATACATAAATTAGGTAATTAAAGTTTCATTGAAAATGTCATTAAGAACTGTAAAAATAACAGATTTTTAATTAAATCCTAGTTAGTAACGTTCCCAATGTAATTAACAAATGTAAATACTGTCCATTATTAGATAACTGTCCCTCAACTTTCTTGCTAAGCGACCGATCTTTTGTTTATGTTAATTTTTTTTAATAATCAGACGATCGTCCAATGCTTTTGTTTTCTGAGTGTAATTTAAGTCACTTATTTAATTGATTATAAACTTGTTAACTTATCTGTTAATTGTTTGCCTACTTATTTTGTGATTTTCAATTAATTGACAAAACGTGTTAATTGTTAACTTTCACTTGTATTATGTTAATGTTTTGTGAATTTTACTTGCCAGCTTTGCCTCTCATTTTACTTCATCTTCGTAAGATATTATTTCTTGTGGATCAGTTTACGTCTGACAAATTGAAATGACCACTGATGAAAGTGTGAACTGTTAAGCTAATCGAGTCAACAACTTAATTGTCTTGTTAATTATTTTGTCTAAGCTACAGTTTTCAATAGACAATTTTAAACAATGGCTAATGAAAAAAAAGAGGGAGGATAAAGACGAGTCAGAAGATTGTTGATCTCATTGTAAAATGTTTAAATATTGTTTACTCCAACATCATCACCAGATGATGGATTGGTTGAAAATTTGCCTTCCGAGAAATCCTTTTTAGACAATTTTGTCTCCTCTCTCAATTGTCCATTGAGAGGCAATCTGACAACAATGGACGACACAAGTAACCATTACTTCTCAGCCATTAATCTCTATCCTTCACAATTAATCTTACTGTTGTACCTCTTTTTTTCTAGATCTCGTAAGAGTTACCTCGAGGAAACTGGAAGCTCGTTATCTCATGATGGTACATTAAAGAGTTCCAAAGGAAGCCGAGGACAACTGGCTCGTCGAAGTGGTGGCATCTTTTCCAATCCATTTAAAACGGATCGAGAAAAGATGGACCAATTAACGGAATTACTTAACTTGTACAGTGTTCATGGTATTCCAGACCAAGTGGGTCTTCTCAGATTTGAATCAGAGTTGGATAAGTTAGAAGCAGCTCGTCAGAAATTAAACAATGGTGCAAATTCAACAACAAGCACTTCTAGTAGTGTTTCTGGTGGTACTGGGTCAACTTTTAATCTCAACAGTAGCAATTCAAGTATCTCCATTAAACAGTTAAGTGAAGAATCTCTTTTCCTTGAAGACCATTGGCGATGCATTGTTACCAATTGGGAAACTATGCCAAAGAAACTGCAAAATCAGCAAGACGCTATCTGGGAACTTCTTCATACCGAAGTTTTCTACATTAAACGCCTCAGAGTTATCGCTGATCTATTCCTATCCTGTCTTTGTAACCTTCAAGGTGAATGTCTTCTCAATGATGTAAGTTATCTTTCATTTTCTCCTTCTATTAATCCCCACACATCTAACACATAACATCAACAATTATGTTAAGTGACAAGTTGCAAACAAATATTAATAATCAACTTACAAGTAACCTCAACATGGTTTCATCCTTTCACTGCTAATTCCATTATTACTAAATACCTGTATCTTGTGTCCTACAAAGGCTTTGACAATTACCTTGACCATCCAATCATAACTTAGTCCTTTATTACCACAATTTCGTGGCAATCCTTTCCCTTCCTCGGGCCATTTTCACATCCAATCAATATACATTCGGGAATAAGATGAAACGGTAGACAATCGACCCTAAGGATTTATCTTTAATGGTGATGATTGGATAAAATGTTAAATTGATTAAAATATTTACGATTTCATCTTATTTGCGCAAAGATATTTTTGTTCTGATCAAACTCATATTCGACTGTAGATATTCATTTCTATTCATAGCAAGAGAAAAATTTCCCGCATCACTTGACTGATTATTTCTTCTTATTCTTAAAGATTATATTTCTGATTCTATTTTTTGCCTCTCATATGATATTTCATGTGTTTATATTTATAATACACTCACACACAGACACACATACTTTCCTCTCTCCCTGTTATTCATAAGCATATTACCTCTGGGATCAAGTAAACAACAACAACAACAACAGTAAAGAGTCGTAAGGTAAAGTATTTTGTGATTAAGTGTGTTTGTGTGATGATCAGACATGATTGAGGTTAGGTTAAAAGGCATGTTGACAGGTAACATTGAAGTTGTCATCATCATCACTATCGTCACTTTATTGTCCTGTTGTTGTTGTTTTATTTTCTCCCAGGCTTATATGTTTATTATTTGCCTCTTCACCTTATTTATCATCAACCATCACTATTATTTTCATCATTGTTTTTTCTTCTTTTCTTTTCCTACAGATCGATACCGAGAAAATGTTTTCCAATATAACGGACGTATATAAAGCAAATCACTATTTCTGGATGCATCATCTATTACCAATGTTAAAAGCATCCAGAGAAAATCATCAACCTCTCAATCCAATCATCATGAAAGATGGCTTTCTCAATGTAAGGATAACAATCATCACAAAAGATATTTCTCATCATCAACCTTTCCCAGTTCTCACTCCCCATCATCATCATTTCTTCGTTACCATATTGTTCATCCAACTCTCTTCATCTCTCTCTCTAAATGAAGAACCTCAACCCCTTTCCAAGACTCAGAAGCAGGATAAAGGAGAGAGAGAAAAGAATAATGATAAAGATAAATTTACTAGAAGAGGAAAGATGAAGGTGGTGATGAAAAATAAGAGATAAATGATCTTAATGCTTCAAGACTTACATTCACACGCACTCATTCATATTGATAAAATTGACGCCTACCAAATTTATATCCTTCTCCTTCAATTGTACTTGTGATGAAGATCATGGAGTGAATGTTAGGATTCATTCCTTTCTTATTTTTCATCATCTCATCTTCATCTTATGTTATATCTCCTTCCCCATCATCACCATCATCACCAACCATTTTAACAATCAACAAATCGTTTTCCCTTCACTTTACTAGCTTGTAAACATTTAAGCTGAGAAGACAAAGAAAAGGGCAAAATATAAATGATAACAAAAACTGTTACTAGCAACCTTTATCATACCATATTTTATCATTATCATGATGATTTTCATTTTAAGCTTCAACTTGTCCAGTCTCATTTAATCTTGCTGGCTTTCCTTAAATCCTCACTGATGATGGTGATGAAGATAAATACCATGAAAATGATTCTTAACTTTTTTCTTCTTCTTTTCCAACTACACTTTCAACTTTTTCATCTTTTCCTTAACAACTCATGATAACTTTAACACTCCATCTTTTCACACCCTTTCAATTTCACCCACTTTCCTCTTCATCACCAATGGTTCGTAAATTTGAATTTTTGTCACTTTTATTTCATTCGGAAGTTGTATTATGGCGTAAACAGTCAAGTAAAACAGTTTACCATCCATTAGAAGGCAAATATCAATGTTAACTTGACAACCATCAACATTTTTTTCTTACTTTTTTACATACTTTTATCCATTATTATTTACCATCAGATTCACCCAAAGTTTCCTATTATTTCATTATCTTTGCTTCCCAGCTTTAATTGAAAATTATCATAATTTTGATTAAAAAAATAGTCTTTTATCAATATCCATCTAATCAATAGAAAAGTTCAATATCAAGTCATCTTGAACCCTTTTCCCTTTTCCTTCATTTTTACCAGAATTTCCTTGACTTTATTTTCCCTTTTTGACCCAATAATTGTCTAGTTAATGTTCAATATTTATCTACATCCTTTTGGTGGTGAAAATTGTTTCAAAATTTGGGTTAAAATTGAACTAAAACTTGATAATTCATCTATTTTCACCTTCATTATGAAATTTCCGTTGTAATCTTTCCATTTGCATGTTAGTCATGCTGATCATCCTTATCATGGTTTCAGCTATAATTTAATCTCATTCTGTCCTCTTCCAAATACATTTTTGATTTAATTTGCTAATTATATTCACCAATCTGCCTAATTTATCATTCACTTTTTTTCCAATCCTTTCTGCTCAACACCACCATTGTCTTGTTCAAGTCAAAACTTGGGTTTCCATCGCTTTTTTACCTCGTTTTTGTTATCAATCTTCCCTTTTTCATTTTCATCATTTCCACTCCCATCTCTAGTAATTATCATTTTCATCACTGATCCCAATTTGATTTAAATGATATCAAATTTAATTCCCAATGACAGTTTAGCTTATCTATCTCATCATTAACAGCAACAATACATTAAACTTGTTTTACAGGATGAGTTTCATTACAGTTACATTAGTAACCTTTAAACTGTTCACAATGTAACCTTGTTTTTTTCATCATTGAAACTTTGTTTTTTTCACTGTAAATATATTGTAATCTCTTGTCACTTACAAATTATTTTGACACCATATTCAGGGAAAATTCAGTCTTCTCTTTCTCTCTCAACTCACTTGATCAGCATTTTATCGATTTAACTTAAAATCGATTTCCTTATTTCTATGTAAACCCTGTTTTCACCATCTTTAGTTTCCCTCATTGAACCACTTTAAATTCAAGAAATAACATCACAAGTTAGCAACTCTCAAATACCGAGAGCTAGAAGAAGAAAAAAATCTGAACAAAATTATTTTCCTCAAAATTTCAGCATGTTTGGTGATTGATTGGGAATCCATGAAAACCATTCTCAACATTGTAATTCCAACTTAAGCCTAAATGATTTAGATTTTTTTGTTTAAATTTAGTTAAATGGAAGCGAAACAGCGTGAAATTAAACCCAAAAGTAAAATATCTCAAATAGTTGAACATATTATACTTGAAATGCACCATCTGGAAATGTCTTAAAAGCTTCTCGAACCCAATAATTGACCAAAAAATCAAATTTCTTTCTCCAACCTTTAACATTATCGATTGCTCATTGTATTCAAACTTTCCATTGTTTTCAAGCTTTACATTTTTACATCATTGAACTCAAAGCTAAAGGTTAACATTGATTAAAAGCAAGTCACTCAAGTCAACCCTTCAACTCAACTTTCCCTGTAACATGAAATAGGCAATTTTAACCTGATAGCTGATCGATAAACTAGTAAACAATTTACTTGTTTTATCATCAACCTTATTGAGAACTGAACAAAATGTGAAAATAAATTGACCCAACCACTTGCAAGATATTTTTCATCATCAAAAGTTGAACTAACTGTTAAAAATTTTTACATTTATCATACTTTTTTGGTCAATTTTCCTTTTCTATTTTCGCCGAACTTTTCTTCAACTGATGAATTTCCAATACTGAATAAGAACAAAAAATCAATGGTTATTAAGTTAAACTAACCAGGTTATCGCAATTTAATACTCACAATATATTGTTCAATAACTTTCAGTCTATTGAATTGATTCCTCTTTTTTATATTGACTTACTTTGGCTCTTAGTTATTTACTTTTCATTGTTTTCTGAGCTTTTGTTGTTTCCTTTCACCATTTCTGGTGTCAATCAGAAACAATTTAATTGCCATTAAATTTGATTCTGTTTACTAGCTTTTGTTTTATAAATCAATTGATTTTTGCCTTCTTAATTTAGGTTGAAAGAAAGTAAATTATTTATGGAAATTATTTACCAATTTTACTCCCATTTACCAACAATTAGAAGACAGTTGATCATCAATTGAATTATTTCAATTGTACTTTTCAAAATGATTTACAAATCAATCTCAATCAATCAAAGTTATGATAAATTAATGAGAAAACATTTTGCAAATTTTGTACCTTTTCAACTTGTCTAAATATTTACCAAGCAAACACTCGAGTCAAAAGTGAAATTAAATATTAATCGTTGTAAATCAACATTGAATTAATTAATCTACAATTTATTTACATTCTCATCTTTATCACCTTTGAATCCTGAATTTCCTTTGGTGTAAAATTGTGTATAATGACGATTATATTGAATAATTGTCAATAAGAAGTGAAAGCGGAAAAATGAAAGTTAAATGATGAAAAAAATGGCAACTTTTTTGAATAAAACATAATAGTCAATGGAAGTGATTTTTTCACAATATTTAAATCATCATTCATCCATCGTTTATCATTTTTATTGAAATTTCATTTTCTTTCAACTTTCACAAGAAATGATTTGCTTTTACCTTTAACTGTTGTTATCTGTTTCTTGGAAACTTGAAATTCCCTCTGATTGTTTAACGATTCCTTTGACATATTCATTATCAACTAATTTTCGTCTTTTCAATTTCATTCCTTTTTCAACAGTTTGATGTTATATTCAGACCCTATGTAAGATACTGCCTGGAGCACAGCAATTGCCTGCATTATGTAAAGGAAAAGCACAAAGAAAGTGAATTATTCAAAGCTTATGTTGTGGTAAGTTTTAAACAAAAAGGAACCCTTTTTCTCGGAATTGTTTTTCCTACCTTTTCTGACAATTTTATAACATTTTTCTTCTTCTCTTTCAGTGGTGTGAAACTCGGAAAGATTGTGACAGATTACGTTTAATGGATCTTCTTGTAAAACCTATGCAAAGATTAACAAAGTATTCACTTCTTCTTAAAGCCATTCTCAAAAAGACTGACGACGATGACCAGAAAGCTGCCTTAAAGTCAATGGTAAATTAGATTAATTTACTAATTGTCTTCTCTTTTTACCGGCCCTGATGAATTGTTGATGAAAAATGCTTCAATCGTTCATTTTCATTCATTAAATTGTCAATCTTGAAGTTAAATTTATCCCCGATGGTTCACCTTGCCTTGACATTATTCATTGTTTTATCCATTGAAGCAAACAAATGCAAAGAGATCTCAAAGCTATTATTGATATAAATTGTATTCACAAAGATGACCCAACATTGTGAATCAATAATGTAGTTACTTTATAAGTTTATTTTTGGCCCACATGAAGCAAAAAAGTATATCAATGTTTATAAGATACAATTAGATTACTTTAGTTGAAAGGTTGATTCCATTGAAGATTGGGTTAACATTGCTTTTGGATTTTCATCTTTCAATTCACAATTAATGGTTAACATTTTATATTGCTTTTGTGGTAAAAAAAGAGTCTCGAGTCTTGAACTATTCAAGGCAACGTGAACAACCCTTGAAATATTTACACTTAACATACACTTGATTTTCAATCAACTTCAATTTGACTTGAATAAAAGTTGTTGACAAATTTTTCCCTGTTTACTCTTGTTCTGACTTTTTGTTTCTTCTTTTTCAGAATTATTCCGTTGAAAAATTTGTATGCCAGGTTGACGCTTGTCTCCGTCGGCGACATGATATGGAAAAACTTGCCTCAATTGTCAGCCGTATTGAAAGTTATGATGCTCTTGATAGTAGCAACGATGAAGTTGAAAAGGTAAGTTGTTTTGTTTTTGATCATTGAAGCGTCTGTAAACATTTACTACAAAATACATTCAACTGATTGAATTGGTAACCATTAGCTTTTCATTTATCAACCAAAGGTAACAGTTGAACTTGTGCCATCTCACATGATCATATTTAGCTAATCGGGTGAACATAATGTTATTAATATATTTATTAGCATGAACATGTTGAATTAGCTTTAAATCTAGAGGAAGAAGAGAAAAAGTTCAATCGATAATAAACTGAATGAAACAAAACACACACAAAATAACTCTTCATCAAGGTCTATGGTCATCATCATTACCATCCTTATAATGATCATTTCAGGCTGCAATACCATTAGCTTTGGCAGACTTGAAAAACAGTCGAGTCTATCATCAACAATTAACTCTAGTTTTGCATTTAGACTTGATTTACGATAAAATTGATTAAATATCAAATAACCATTTTATCTCCTTTTGTTACCAATTAATTATTATAGACTCCTTTCCTATTGATTTACATAAATCATAATTTTATCACTTCATCATTGAAATGCTGAAAACACATGAAAAAAACACTATTAGTTCAAAACAATAAATTAATCAAAACATGATAGATATTTTTCTCGCTAACTTACATATTGAACAATCTATCAACAATCAACCCAATTTGATCAAACATAATGCAATTTTATTGCCAATTGAAATAACAATAGTTTATCAAAAGGTTGACTTGATAGTTTCCAACTGAACATTTTGATAAAAGATTCTTGTAACTCGGCATTTAGCTATAAAAATTTGGCAACATTTAATCACAAAACGTTTATATTAGTGATAATAACATGATAATATTGCAATAATTTTATTACTGTCGCTTCACATCATTTATCATTACATTGTATCAATTTAACATTCAAAAGGTTCTCAGTTTTTTTACCTTCAATAAAAATGTTATTTTTGAACGTTTTCAATATTTACTTTTAACATTATTATTATCATGAAAATTGATGAAAATAGAAATAACAATTGATAATATTCCTGTCAACAGATGAAGTTGAACATGAAATTGAGTGCAAAAGTTCAATTCATTCGCTATCCATACCAATTAAATTCATAGCATTCACTGTTGAACAATTATTATTATCAATTTTCAACATTCATGATTCACATTTCACTTGAAACTAGGAATAACTTTACGCATATTCAATGAACAAGAAACACTCATATTTATCCAGTTGTGATAGAAACATTTTTTCAATTCAATCAAAATCTGTATCTTAATACAATCCTAAACCAATTACAAGTGCAACCTTTAATATCATTTTATTCACATTCATTAACAAGAAAAATGTTTTCACTTATACCTTTTCTTACCTTTTACCTGTCAAATATAATAATATGAATTGTGTAAAAAATGAAAAAATTTACTTTACTTTGAACATTATTTCTCACTTTAAGATAATCTTTAAGTTTAAAGGAAAAAAATATTTCACCCAAAAAAGTCTCAAAATGGAGTAAATATATTTTATATTTACATTTATATTTATATATCTATTATATAACAAGTAAAACCATCTTTTTTTATGAAAATCCTCTATCAGATTATCTGAGTTTTCCAGTTTGTTTACGTTTCATTGCCTTGATGTTTATTTATTTTTAGAGAAAATCTTTTCTTCGTTTTTCCTCTTCCACTCATCCTCCTTATCCCATCCTCATCCTTCATCATCCCATCAACTCCTTTTACCCAACCACCAACAATGTATTTAACGTTGAAAAGGCAAAAACAAAAACTGTTCAATCTCATCAAGTCTACAAGAAACTATGTTTTATTTCACTCCAAGTTACAGCCAAAAATCACTGGGAGTTTTTACTTATATTTAGATTATCTAATGATTCGAATGATTATTATTATACTTTCTATTACTATTATTGCTATTGCTATTATTGCCATCACTATTATTGCTATTATAACTTTATATATATAATATTACTCTTTTTTTGTACATTTCTGTTGGATTTGAAGAAGCAAAAAAACTCCAGAAACGTAAACAATATCGTTTGTTGCTTCAGGCCTTCAACAGTAATATGGATCTTGTATTTATTTTATCACTATTTATCGTTATTATTTTGATGATTATTTTATTTATTATTACGTTTATTATTATTTATCTATGCACTTAACTAAATATCATGTTAACTGTTGAAATAATACATAACCAAATCGCTAGTCATTTCAACAAATCTTGAGCCTTTTCAATTGTTGAATCAAAAAGATGAGCTTTTTTTATGCTTATCGAGACACTTTTATCCTTTCCAATGTTGTACATTTTACTGATTTACTTTATATCTTATGTATATTATTATTTCAATATTATCATTGACAAAAATTGGAAATTTTGTTTTCCTTTTTCGCTCATTAATTTGATATTTTATTACATTCATCCAAAGCTTTAGTTCAAATACAGATTTACAGTAAAACCCAACTTTGATTCAATTTATTTTTACTTAGACTTTCATTTTTCTAGCTTTTTTATATCAAAAGGCTGAGTTTACAGTTTATTTTCAATGTTAATGTTTCAATGTAAAGTTGGATATCAGTCCATAAATTGTTTTTAATTATCAACTCCGCTTATTCATTGGACTGCTTGATCTCAGTGATTAAAGGATTTACTGGGAAACATAGCAAAGTCCGGATTTCCGATGCATATTGAAGGAATAATGGAATAACTTTCTATTCATTTTATCGTCATCATTATCATGATCGTTTTGGTTGATTTCTGAGGAAATAAATTGTCATTAATTTTCTTGGAAACGTCCAGTCAAGAGTCAACTATCGATTGTTAGTTTTTTTCATTCAAATCTTGACTGATTCAATTTTTAACCATTTTGCTCAAGATGAAGTTGAAATTTTCAATTGTCCAGATTTTTAAACCAGTTTCACCCAAATAGTGCTCAAAGTAAATAAAATTATGCTTACTATGCATTTAATTTGTTTACCTTTTTTATTCCACATCAGCTCATATTAAATTTGTTTTTCATCACAGATAATGCTGAATACTCAGTAAATGTTACACTTTTACATTTTTGTCAAAATTTTGATTCAAAAAGTTGACTCAAATTTCTCAGTATATCCATTTAAATACATTATGTATTATAAAAATGGGTTACTTTCAATTTAAATGCTAAGTAATTTCAATTCTCTTTTCACCTTTTTACCATCTTCAATCATCTTAGACTTGATAAAAATTATGAGACAAATGGAAAAGGGTTGAGAAATTAATTCTAATTGTCAATATTAATCATTAGTCAACCTTTTCGAGCTCCTTATCGGCAACTTTCAAAATCTCATTATTCATGTTATTTGTTATTTGAAACTCTGCTTCTGAAATTTTATAATTTTGAAAACTTGTAAACTGAGAGCCTTTTTCAAATGATAATTATCATTTTTGTGAGCTTTTTTGTTACCTGCTTACAAAAATGATCACATCTCGACTACTCAATATAAATTTGTATTTATTCTCATTGGAATATGAGTAAAAGATTCAGATTTTCAAATCTTTATCTTGCTCTTCTTATGAAATATGTAACATTCATGTATATATTAGGTGGGTCAAGCATGCGTAGGTTTGACCTAGAGGCCGTGATCACAGAAAGATCGAAATTTTTTTAAAAGAAAGAGCGTAGTCGAATTATCATAGTTATTGACTTTTATCGTTATAAACGAACTAGTAACAAAGTTATTCGAAATCGTTCATGATTTCTTGCATCAAAATGTGATTTTGCAAAAAAGGGTTGTCTTGAACAAAAGAGGATTATCAGAGCCATGCTTGATGAAACGCTAAATGCTTTCATGACAAGATTTCTAGATGGATGAACTATGAATCGACAGAGAAAGGAACTACAGTGCAGCCATGTGTCTCTAGAAAAATGACCCGAAAATCGAAAATGAGTTTTTTTGTGTCGCCTTGTGTTTTCATTGACCTGAGACAACTTTCATTCAGCGAAACTAACTGATAAGCCTGGATTTATGAACGGCAAGGTTCATCGTTTCTATAGTTACGCCGCATTACATATCAATTGGTCTTTTAGGTATTGAAAATCGAGCTGCAATAACTGCCTAACAAGCACGTCATCTCGGCTTTCATGATACCGTTACAACACGATATCATATTTAGGAATTAGTCTGAATTCAAAGCATTTTTCATCCATAATCAGGTAGATTTGTTCCCTTAGACTTATTTTTGATAGAAAATTGTAGTCAGTATGACCGTGAAATGAGACAGGAATCGATCAATGTGCTAAAGGCAGCCAAAAACCGGTTTTTCGGTTCAAAGACTGTGGCCTGCTACAGAGTGGAGATACAACCATAGCTCCTTCGTTTATAGTAATATATTAAGACCTGCAAATCACATTTACAATGAAAAGTTATCTAAATTAACTCCTTCAATGTCAGACCTACGCATGCTTGACCTACCTAATATTAAGTGATGAAAGGATAAAAGACGAAAGATTTCTCATCAAAGTACATTTTTCATCTTTTTTTAGCTTCAATTTGTCTCTTCAGTCTTTTCTTCATCCATTGCTCTCTTTTTATAATTCAAAATATCTACCTTTGAAATCTTTTCATCTTGATTACTTTACATCTAATCATTATTATTATTAGTTGTATTATTATTGTATTATGGGTGTTTGTGTGTATTCAAAGTACCATTTAGTCTTTAAAATGCTTTTCATTTTCAACAATCTCGAGAGGAATTTAAAGTCACTTTTGGTATTAACCAAAATAAATAAAAAGGTTACCCTTTCAGGTGAAGTTGTACAAAAACATAGGCATTAAGAACGTAAAGAACAACTTTTCTTCACTTAATTAAGTTTCTTTTCTTTATTTTTACTCGTATTTACAATTTTTTACCCTTTTCCCACTCGAATCACATTGTCTTTTTTTCAAAAAAAACATTCAACAATAGAATGAAAATTTTATTAAATTAAGACACATTTGAATCTCTGTTGTCTATTTACCAGAGCTTTACTGAAATTTTAGATCTTAAATCTCTCAAACTGTAAATGCCTTGAATTTGCCATCTCTTTACTTGGTTTTATATTATTGCAGTGAATTTACAATTGAATGTATTTTGCTGTAACTTGCACTTTTTTGTTGCCTATTTATGATATTCATGATTCTAATTTTTCAATGTTTCTTTATTCAGGTTCTCAAAGAGTTTACTCGACTAAATCTTACCTGTCCAATGCCTGGTTGTCTTAGTTCTCGAATCCGTCAACTGCTGCTGGAAGGATCAGGCTTAAAGCTTCGAGATTCCTACACTTCAAGTAAATTGGATGTTCACTGTTTCCTTTTCACTGATACCTTATTAATTTGTAAATCAGTTGGACGTAAAGGTGATAAGGTTAGAGTGATTCGCCAGCCTTTCCTTGTTGATCGTATTGTTACCCATGAATTGAAAGATGGATCTGGTTTCATTGTGATATATTTAAATGAATTTAACGTTGCTAGTGCATTTTTCACTCTTTACACCACCGAAACACGAACCTGGCTAGAACATATCAAACGAGCCCAAGATCATTATGAAGAAGCAAAACAACAATTGATAAAATCTCAGGAAAAGAATAAAGCAAAGAGTGATATTGAAAATGCCAATGCTGATGATGCTAAAATTGTCACCAAAAACGATAGTAATAACAATAGTAATAGTAGTAATAATAATGATAATATTAGTAAACCAACATTGAATCCGCTGGTTCGCACTGGAACTGGAACTGACAATGAAAATGAAAATGAAAATGACGATGATCCTGATTTCCCAGGAACTGCACTATTAGTTACCAATCAATCACCTCAATCTTCTCGGTCTTCCCTGATGCGTTCACAATCTGGCTCTATGGACATTTCAGAGTCCAACTTTGCTCTTGGTTCAAGCTTAATGATTGTACCTTCAACAACACCCAACCTTTTATCTCAAAACTATGGACCCGATGGTGAGCCTTTACCGTCTCGAGCCATCTCATTTGAACTTGGGGAACTTCGTAATCCAAGTATGACTGTTGAAGATTTAGAGCCTTTTGGTCGATCTCATTCAATGGAGACTCGCCAACCTCCAGTATCTGTTACAATTACTTCACCTCGACCAGAGAGACGAGCTTTCCTCCTTAGAGGAGCTGGTAGTGAAAAGTCTTATGATTCAATGTATGAATCAAGCATCAATACTTTATCAGTTAATGTTCCAACCCTCCATATAAATGATAAAACTGTCACAACTTCAATTCAGGTTCCTGTGCTTAGTAAGCAATCACAGTCTCAGCAACAATTACAACAACAACAATTATTGCAATATCAATCAACAGTTAAACCTTCAGCTTCACCTCCATCATCATCTTCTTCCTCTTCTAATGCTCCTCGCCAACGATCTGTTTCACCTCGATCTCTTCAACGATCACTTCCGATCTCATCAGGCTATCCAGCTGCCAATAAACCACCTTTGGTTAAAATGAAAAACATTACCGGTTTAAAGGTTCACTCTGCTCCACCTTCAGAAGGTCCTTCACCGGTTCACTCGTTTGACTCAGAGGCTGGAATGGGAGAAGGTTATCCAATTTCTAGTGCCTTGGCCGGAGTCGATACAGTTGAAGGTTATGGAGCGCCTTTAATCCCACCAAGCTCCGGAATGGCGGGTTACAATACCAGTATCATCTCGATTGGAGAGAGTAACAGTCCTGAATTTTATTATACCTATGAAACATCAACACTTTCTCCGGGAAAAGGGACAAGTGCTGCAACTGCCAATGATCCAAGTGAGGATGATTTGGATACTGCGAAAAGTCGTTTACACCAAAAGCGAAGTGTTCGTGGAGAAAGACGTTACCATACCGCTGATTCAATTGAAAACATTAAAAAGGAAAAGGACTCATCGATCCATAAAAGATTATCTTGGAATTTTGGACAACAATCTTCTGGTGGTGGTCGAGGATGTGGTCATGGAAGTGGATGCCCAAGTTCAGGATCAGCTTGTGGCTCTGGGCCTAGTGGTAGTCATGATCGAGTTTTATGTAATAAACATTTTAACAAATGTCTATCATCTGAATCAGTCTATACCTCATCTGGTTTCAGTTCAACTGGAAGCGTTCCATTATCGGTCAACAGTTGCGAATGTGAACAATGTGGAATCGAGATTTTAGGTCATATCCAAGAAATGGAACCTTCAGCAGAAAGTCCGACAACCTCGTTAGATCCTGTTTCCTCAGAAGAAATGAAAAGAAAGACCTTATCCAATGTTCATCCATCATCACCAAGAAAAGTAGACCCCAGTGATTCAAGTGGCAGTGGTCACGGGGAAACTTCCAAGTCAACAACTGGTGCTAACCCTGTAATTGGACCTTCTGACATTAAAATTGATGTCAGTGAGGTTAAAGACGGCATTTCTTCAGTGCAGATAACTCTGAGTGGAACAAATATCGGAAAACCTTCAAAGAATGATCTTAAAAAGATGAAAGAATTTCTTTTAACCAGTTTGGAAGCATCGTAAGAATTTAACATTCATGTGACATTTGTCCATTTTTTATCGTTTAAATATTCATTTTTTTTGCTAATCAAACTCTTTTCTTTATTCTGTTACAGTGAAGTCTGATATTAAATGGTCCTAGGAACAACCATTGATTCCGTTTATGATTAAACCTCTATTGAAATTACCAAATCGAAGATTGACCAGCAAAAAATCAAAGCTGATTGATTTTATGCTTCTCGACTTTACTATCAAGGCTATTTATATCACAAACCAATGTAATCAATATTATGCATATGATTATTATTACTCCAAATTGATATTCTGTAAAACCTTCTCAAGACAAAAAGTAATACAAATTTTTTCGCAACAAAACCAAATTACTTCGTAAAACAAACAAATTTTATTGTAAATATATATAACAAAAACAACCATTATTAAAGAAACAAACAACAAATAATAATGTTATAAATTTATTATTAATACAATTGATAATTGCTATTTATAATGTTAAACTGTTAAATCTCTTCTCCTGTAATTTCCCTTTTATCAAAGTAGTGAGAAACAAAGCAAAATGAAAGAAAATCTCATTTTCTTTTGACCGTAGAACGTACTTTTTTATCATTAAATCATTAAATCATTTTTATCAAATATCCTTCCATGTATTTTATTGATTTATTTTATTCTGCGAGAATCGGAACCAACTGCCAACTACTAGATATTTGTATAAGTTTGGATCACCATAATGAATTTATAATAAGTCGACGTCTATCCAATAACCAAGCATTTCATAAAAGATGAATAAACTCAATTAAACTCTTGTATGAATCGTAAATTTGCATTTGTCTTATCTTTTTCAGTTTAAACACAAAAGTGGTTTAAGATTAGACCCATAACCAGAATTGTTGACATCGAATTAAGTACTCAATGATCATCATTTCAAACCATTGGCCTACTAGGTTTGATTCAGTGCTTGCAAAATCAACACTGATACAATGGATTTATTAAATTGTTATTAAGACTCGTACTCGAACGCATTCAACAGCAATTTTATTTTTCTTGTTATGCATTATTTTCAAAACAATGCTCATGGCCGGGTCTGAGTTCAAAATATTAAATTTAACGTTTATTTACAACAATGAGCTGACCCATGCCCAAAATATTCAGTCAGAAATTGATAAATAATCAACCATTTAAAATCAACTGCGAATCCAAAATTAAGAAGACATAGATTAACCCTAATAAAATGTTAAAAGAAATGACATTAGGTTAAAAACAATTTCGATGCAATTTATATTGCCAGGTAAAAAATTAAAACTTACCTTTGTTTTTATGAGAAGCAAAATGGCGGTCTCGATGATTTCAAATGAATGATTGAGTAGCATAGGATAAACATCTTTTTACTTGAACCCTAGATTAAATAATCCTTGATTTAAGAGTTTATAGTGATTCGAACTGCTCAATATAAATTAATCAAATATCCTACCTAACTTAATTATTTAATTAATTTACATTGTTGTTTAATAAACGATCATTTCTTGCATCTCACAAAGGTAACCATAGTTTTACACAGCTTCTCTTTGGTTTCCTATCCAAGCGCCATCTAACAGCGATTATCTCAAAAATCTCCGCATTTCTTTTCTTTCAGCATTTTCAACAAAGACCAAGTATTTAATTTTGTAACCTTTTTGGTTAAATCAATTCGTTTAATATTTATTTTATTTTATTAGTTATTTAAATCGATTGAAATGTTTTATAACCCTTCTCTATATTTGTAATGAAACGGGTTAACTTCGACGTGATTGATTAACTGTATGAAAATTTTTGCCTGACTCATTTTTTTCTCTGTCATCAAGTCCTAGGATCTTATCCGACACACTCAAAAAAGTATCCTTCTAACCTCATCATATACTATTGTACATCTTATATTAGAATTGTATTCTCAAGATCTCCATCATGGGCACCAATTATGCAAATGTAAATGTTTTTACCGTTACCGATGATAAGCAGCTCATCAAAAAGCCGGGTAATCCATTTTATGTCAAACTAAGTGATGAACAGGATAATCTTTTGATTACACTGAAAAATAGTGAAACCAGTTTAAGTGATAAAGATGAAGATTATCCATTTTACAAGGATTCAGAGATTTCAAAGTTCGGTAATGACTCTCTAGTAGTACACAATGGTACCATTACCTTTGTCCTTCAATTCGATAACTTACAAGAATCAACCATGTTTAATAAAATTCTCACGGATTTTAAGCAAGGAGTTAAGGCATCAGTCTTTTCACAGGTAAGTTTTATTGTAATGTAACAATGCTGCGTACTTATGTTTCTAATCTTTTTTCCTAATTTTTCTTGCTATATTTTAGAGAACTGATGAAGCCTCAGCTTCTCAGTATTTCCAGTTTTATGGATATCTTTCTCAACAGCAAAACATGATGCAAGACTACATTCGTACATCTACTTACCAAAGGGCCATTCTGGGAAACACTGATGATTTTCGGGATGCAGTTGTATTAGATGTTGGTGCTGGTTCGGGTATATTATCTTTTTTTGCTGCTCAAGCAGGTGCACGAAAGGTTTATGCAGTTGAAGCTAGTTCAATGGCTAAACACGCTGAACAGTTAGTCTTCCATAACAAGTTACAAAATAAGATTGTTGTCATTCCCGGTAAAATTGAAGAGATAACTCTACCAGAGAAGGTTGATATAATTATCTCTGAACCGATGGGTTATATGCTGTTTAATGAACGTATGCTTGAAACTTATCTTCATGCTAAAAAATGGCTCCAACCTCAAGGTAAAATGTTTCCAACTCTTGGAGATCTTCATATCGCGCCTTTCAGTGACGCAGCTCTCTACATGGAACAGCTCAACAAAGCCAATTTTTGGTATCAAGAAAATTTTCATGGTGTTGATCTCACTGTTTTAAGAACAGCTGCTGTTAAAGAATACTTCCGTCAGCCAGTTGTTGATACTTTTGACATCCGAATTTGTATGGCGAGGTCTCATCGATTTACAGTTGATTTTCAATCAGCCTCAGAGACTGATCTTCACCACATTGAAATTCCTTTTTCTTTTGTAATGCTACACACAGCTGATGTTCATGGTCTTGCCTTTTGGTTTGATGTTGCTTTCATTGGTCAAAATCAAACAGTTTGGCTATCTACATCTCCTACTCAACCTTTAACCCATTGGTATCAAGTTAGGTGTCTTGTTGATACACCTATTTTCTGCCAAGCTGGACAAATTCTCACCGGCCGAGTTGCTTTAAGATCCAACAAGCGTCAGAGTTATGATGTTGACATTGAATTAAATCTAGAAGGAACCTTAAGCCGAGCCACTAATTCATTAGATCTGAAAAATCCCTACTTCAGGTACACTGGACAAACGCAACAACCACCGCCAGGAGCTCATGAAACTTCTCCAACTGAACAATATTGGCAATCATTGGACAATAATCAAGTAATCATGAATGGTAATTCTGGAGTTGCTTTCATGGATATGTCAGGCATCCACCCTATGCCTCAAACATCAGGGCAAATTCCACCTGCCAATGTTCAACAACAACAACAACAACAAGGCTCAGGAAATCTAAACATGATGCCACAACAACAGGCACAATTGTCTGCTTTTAATAAACCAATCTTTCGATAATATCATTAAAAGTATTTGTGTTGTTTGATCAGACGAGATTGAACGTTTAGATCAATGGGTCCATCAAAAAAAGTTATATCGTGAAAATCAATTGGGTTGATTTTGTAAACCACTAAACAATACAAATGGTAAAAACGAAAGTGTACAATCTAGGCAAATGTTGAAATGAAACAACTGAAAAAATCGATTACATAAAGATCAGTTATCTAAAGAAGCCGATCCTAAGTTTGTTTCTGTTTTCAATGTAATCATCCAAATTAACAAATTTAGTTAGTAATGGGTCAAGATAATTCTGAATTTTTGTAAATTCTGTCTCTAATTATTTAAATTTTCAAAAACATGCACAGAACTGTTTCCTAACTCAACTTGAATTTGAACTTGAAGCAAAAGTTCACTGATCAACCGTTTAAACTCAACGGTTGCAATTTTTCCAAAATGTATTAGGTTGACTCTAATGTTGGTAATTTTTCAATCACGGACTAAAATTGATTTTGACCACTGGATCATCTAGGTCATTCATCTTATCAACTAAACTTATGACTGTCGCCTAGTTAAATGTTAGGTTATCATACATTTTACAGCTAAATCTAACCGTCTAATGAAGATGCATAAAATCGTCCAACTGTGATTGAGTTAATCGTGCAGCCTTGCTAGGAGTTTAATTGATGACCGAGAAAGAAAAGGTCAAAATGGCTTTGGGCAGCCAAAATATATACAAATGTTGCATTGGCCTGACCCATGGACTTTGCTTTATCACATCTCTGATTTAGGCTGATAAGACGGATCTAGGTAAGACAGGATAAGATGCCAAAAATAGATTACCTTAAATTGGATTTTAATGAAGGAAAAATACATTTCTATTCAGAAATTCATCCTCTACTCACCACTGAAGACAACAATTGACGGTTGAAAGATTAAGTGTTATAATATTGATAATAAAACAAATTGAATAGATGAATAAATGGCAACTTTTCCCCATGCTTACCGAAAACAATAAATCAACAAAGCTTTTTTTTATATACCTTCATTGATTTGTTATTGTTAATATAATTTCAATTATTTAGCTAACATCTAATTTTATCCTCTTTTCTTTCTTATTCAATCTAACAGTTTCTTTTCATTATGTGGCTAATTTTTACATCACTTTGACCCCAAATTGACTCAATACATCAACAATTAATACAAGCAACAAGCTGATAAGTAACCACAAAAACATCAACATATTCACACTTATTAAATCAAAAAGCAAGTATGAAACGACAACGAAAAAAAAGAAGCCATCAATTGAACAGATGAAGATAGCAAATCAGATGATCTATCTATGTTTAATTGATGATTATGATAATAAACTTGAATCCTCATTTCTTATATCTTTTACACTATCCATTTTAGACGCAATAATGTAAGGTCAACAAGAATCAGAAGAAGATCCAGAAAGATAGAGAAGGTACAGAAGGTACAGAAGATGCAGAAGATAAAGTGAAACGTCAAAGACAAGCGTCATTTGGTTAAATCAATTTAATTTTAATTTTACTTGGTTTACTCGTCATCATCATCCCCAACCTGAAGATCGTATTATCATTACATGACCTGCCCTGTTTCTTGATGATCATCTCCTCCCCTTTGCCCCTTATCCAGACCCAAGAGATGAAAAGAGCGCAAAAAAAAGAGTCAGGAACTTGAACAAGACCTGTTTATCAACATGTTCATTACATTTATACCCATACTGTAATGATGAGGTTGCCCCGAAAAAAACAACAAAATAAGAATTGGTTCAAAGTGGATCCTTCTCACCTTTTAGCCCCTCATGTACTGTTATTCTGCTCACTCATCTTCATTTTTTTCTTCTTCTTGTGACCTCCCTTTACCTGCTTACTTCCTAGTTGTTTAAGGTAAGATCATTTCATTTAAACCATTCAGTGTTTATAACTCAGTGTCTTCAGATCAACGCAACTTAACTTATTTTGTCTCTTCATTTAGTAACATTCCCACCAACTCTTACAACCATGAAAAACGTTATTTTAAGTGTTGCTCTTTTGGCCGTTTTTGTTGCCGTTGTTTCAGCTTCTGAATCAACTCAAGCCCGTCAAGCCCGATTCGATGATAGGAAAGCTCGATTTGATACCGAGAAGAAGGAAATTACTACATTTATGAATACCAAAAACCTCTTCAAAACTGTGTTCAAAATTTTATTTGGTACAAGTGATGAAAGTGCAGCAACATCACGTCAAGTCCTCGGTGTTCTTGTCGAGGTAAGTTTCCCATTTTGACAAACAATTTCATTAATTTTGCATGAAATGAATCAACACTAACTTTTACTTCATTTTGCTTCTTCTCTACAGGTTCTTGACATGTTGAGAAGCTCATTTGGTCAAAAGGCACGAAGCTCATCTGCTCGTGGATTAAAAGATGCTGTTGATGATGCTGCTTACGCTGGAGCAACCATGTTACGAGGTTATGTAAAATCAGTCCTTGCCGGTGACGATCATTGTGCCCAAAGACATTTGTGTGAATCATCCAAGGAAGCCGTTAGGGAAGGTCGTGAACTCGGTTATGTTGTATCCCAAGTTGGAGGGTAAGTTGAAGCTTTCTTAACCATTATCCATCCATCAGTTTTTATCATTGACAATATTTTCAAAATACAATTGGATCGAGATTTTGAAAGATGTAATAACCCTGAATTGAGGTCGATTCCCTTGAACGCTTCAACAATCTATTATGTGCAATTTAAAGTTGTATAAATATATATCTTCAAGATCTATATAATCAGGACAAGTTACATCTTACCCTTTTCTCGCTTCACATCCTATTATCCAATTTTGACCTTTTTTTCTGCTTCTCTTCATATTTTCTTGTGTATTCATCCTTTCTTTATCATTTTTTCCCCTTTTCCTATTCAAATGTATTTAAACAGATATGCTACTGGTTACCTCCTTCAACACCAAAAATCAATCCCATCAAATACAATCTCAGAGGCAGTTAGACGAGGTCGAAGCGGTGAGGATTGTGCCAAGATTTACTCAAATTGTAATGAAACTTTGTAATGACTGGCCATAACAACTGTTACATCCAATTCAACTACACCAATGAGCTTGGATTTCATCCTTTTGGTTAGATTTAAATTTTAGCCAATTTATCATGACGATAATCATACACAACTATACCACCGATTTTTTAACATTTGGGACAAATTAATTTTTATCCCTTCCATTACAAATAAACAATATTTAAATGGTAAAGATTAATAAGCCTGTTACAGTTCCGTCTCATTCGTCTTTTCACCTTAATAAATATACTTTTCTTTACAAACCAACCAATGGAAAGAAACAATTAACCACCGTCAGGGACTACGATCAATGCCAAAGATCAAAAACACCATTTTCTTGATGATCCTATGTCACCTCTGATCAGTCCTACCATTTACAATCAATTTAACACCATTAATGTAACACTTATTTATAATGCACCCTTAATTGCACACAATTTAATTTGTCCCTTTTTTTAAAAAAAACCTATCTTTGCGATTCTTTTGTTATTTTTAATAAAAATTATCTTTTGTTGAATTTTGATTTGTCCTCTTTACTGGCAACTAATGAACAAATTACAAAGAACAGAATGTTGTGTTTCAGTGTTTCAACTGAATAATTGTTCTTGATTGGCACTTGAACATTCAGCTTGATAAGAAAAGCTTGTAATGACACTGAAAGACAATTAAATGATGAGTATCCCAAAGATGTTTGTGAAAAGATGAATTTGTAAACAATTTAATTTGAGCCTCACAGTGTTTTTGTGTTGATAAAATGATGGTTGGTTATAATGGTTGGGTCAAGGAGAAGGTTATTTATGTAAACAGTCTCAGTATAAAGGTACAGTTACAAACAATTTTCAAGAAACCAGACCAGTTATTCAGGAAGTGGGTAACAATTCCGACCTCGATTATCTTAAGGCGAAGCTTCATTAACCTTTCCGTGAACTTGATCATCATCATCATCTTGATCAACTCCATCTTTCTTTTTTTTGCCATTTCTTCAACCTACCTTGACAGAAGAGGATTTAAGCAAAAAATTACTGATTCCTATTGATGATTACTTTTTAAACTGGTAAACTATCAATTAACTATCAACTGAAATACAAGTTTAATATGGAAAACTGCTAAAGGCTAACGTGATCAAGATTCGAGGTGCCAAAGGAGCTGGGAAAGTTGAACAATTTACTGGTGACAATCAGGTAAATGTCTGATATGTGAGAAGTTAGTAAATGGTTGAAGGTAGTGAGTGAGAAATTTCCAGACAAATTAACAGTGCATTTGGATGACTGATAACATTTCATACAAATAGTGCAGATTTATCAAGCCAAACTTTACTGACTAAACTGCTTATACTTGTATGTTAACCAACATCGATTCAATTGTATCCCATGAAAATCAGAATAACTTAGGCAATAATTATTAAATCAATATTGGTTATTTAACAATTCATCACAAAAAATTGACCATCGATTCGCTTGAATACCAGACGTTAATCAAAAGATAAGGTATCGAGGTCTAACTCCATTTCCAATGCTTTATTTTAGCTTCAACAAAGAGTTTATCTGGTAGCAATTATTATTCTTGGGATTCACTAGGCTCTGGTATTGAAGATATATGAACAATTGAGCTTCCATTACAAGTTGTCAAATACGATTGTTGTCATTGCCGGTAAAATTGAAGAGATAAATCTACCAGAGAAGGTTGATATAATTATCTTTGAACCAATGGGTTATATGCTGTTCAATGAACGTATGCTTGAAACTTATCTTCATGCTAATGGCAGATCCAACTCTGGAAATTTTTCATATCGCGCCTTTCAACAGCTCAACAAAGCTAATTTTTGGAACCAAGAAAATTTTCATGGTGTTGATCTCACTGTTTAAAAAAAGCTGCTGTTTAGGAATACTTCCGTCAGCCAGTTGACATCCGACATTACTTTTGACATCCCAATATTGTAAGTCGAGGTTTCAGTTGACATTTACAATGAAATTTACAGTTGACTTTCAATCAGCTTCAGAGACGCATCTTCTCCGCATTATAATCCCTTTGTTTTGACTTTCACGGTTTAGATATTCCTCTTACCGGCTATAGCTGAATCAGCTTGGTTAGCGTCTTCTAATCAACCTTGTCGCTATTTATTGCTTTTTGACACATGTGGATGTGATGTAAAGGATTTTATAAAAGATAAGAGTATTGATGAAAATTGAACTCAAACGCAGATAACAGGAAAAAGTGCAAATCATTTGATAAGTGATTACTTTGTCGCCATCTACTGTTAATTATTCATTTTTATCTCATTTTTTGACTGAACTGAGGTTAAAATGAATTTTTAAGGACGAACCAGAATAGTTCAGAAGTCACGCCATCTAGATAAATTAAGGATACAATTTGAAAATCAATTCAACAATTTTATTTTAATAAAATGATCAAATAAAAATTGTAATTTGAGGGGTGAACATATGGTTTAATTCGTTGTGGAGTGAGAAGAAATCAAACAAACTAGATAAGATTACATGCATTTTAATAGCATCAGAGTTTCAACAGAATGAAGTACGAGATAATACTATTGATATTTTCATTATGAGTAATACGAGGAGAAAAAGATAGGCAAAATTAAATGATTTGTTTTTGATTTTTTGAAAAGTTGATTTTGATGATTTTTATGATTTTGTTGCTCGCGCCCAAAAATAATGAGTATAAATATACATTATGAGTTAATTATTGTTGTTTTGAATTTTTTAAGATTTGCGGCCCAGAATGCACTTTCGTTTTTAACATCCGTCGCTCGAGACTGAACAAAAAAGAGAAAACAAAAATTTTAGAAAAATGAAAGATTTAAAATTGAGGAATGAAAATGAATAAAACAGACAAAGTAAATAAGATCTGGGTTCAGATAAAAAATTAGGTATCATTAAAGATCTACTTACTCGTTTTTGTTGAACTTTTAGTGGAATTTCGTCATCCAGACGATAAAAAGATTCTCTTGTACATTTGATTATGGATTCGTCCTCAAATTTGAGAACATATTGAATAGATTTGTGGTTGCCAGCATATTTTCCAGCTTGATTTGTTTTCTCCCAAAATATTGTAATTGGATCACCGATTTCAGGGATTCCAGTCCTTTCAATATCTGGGTCCTGAGATAAAATATAATCAAAGAAAAAAAACAAAACAAAGATTGTTAACAAGAGTACTTGATAGGTATCATTAATTAATAAATAAAAAAGAGCAAGATAAATAGCCACTTACAACAATATCAGACGTTTTTAAAATTTGTAAAATTGAGTTATCCTCAAGATGAGCGTGATGTAAAATCAGGCTTGTTTTGTTCATCACAGTAGCTTCATAATAACGACGATTTTTATGCTTTGCTAAGACGATGGTTCCCAAGTTTACCTCGTCCTCTTCGCCCGGCAGGCCAAGATGTTTACCAGATGTTCTTCCGATGCACTTTGTACAATACACTCTAATTGGGTCAGGCCAATCGTCCGTTTCAAATTTGGCACCATTCAAGTAAGCGCAGGTTGTGTGAAATTTTACAGAGCACTTCGGTGCTAAGTAACATTGAATACAGTAGCCACTTATATAGTCTGTAAGTTTATTATTGGTTTTCTGACAATATATACATTTCTAGAGGACAAGTGAGGAAGAAAAAAGGGTAAAACAAAAGATGCGGTTAATTTATCAAAAGATAAGGGAATATATATATATAAATATGTGTATATATTAACGGATGCTTACAAATAAGGGTGCATTTGCTCTATTTTTTTTAATTCCACTAATATCTATAGGTTGCTTATTAAATCCATTTAAAAAAGTAACCCCAGGTTGCATTAATGCACAAGTTATGTGAGCCCATTTACTGTCATCTTTTGTTTTTTTAAGAGCACCTCCTCGCAATGGACAGAGACAACAATTTACACCATAGTCTTCATTTATACAGCGATCGCATCTCCAATTTGCACGATTATCAACATCTAATTTATTGTGGACTCCATAGCAGACTGTAAATTAAAAGAAAGAAAGATTGATTAGAAAGGAAAAGTTTAAGGTTTTGAATTGGTAGATAAAGTACTAGCATAGCAAAGGATGGATTGTGAAAGATTGTCAGAGAAAATGAAAACTAGACTAATTTTGAATTTTAGAGCGACTCTCAAGATTGACTCTAAACTAATTTCAAGTCCCTGGTAATCAATCAAATTCATCCTGCCCAATGATGTTTATCTGCAGTATTGATCTTTACTAGGTTATTTTATTGATTGTTATATTCAAAACTTACTTGAATGTACACAAATTTTGCAATCCGCGCAAACTAGCAATGAGGAACATTTGATATCTTCAAGATTTGGCGTAGCATCTTTCACCTTAAAGGCAAAAGCAGCACTTGGAAGTATGATTGGACTAGAGGTAGGTATTTTATAATGTGCATCAACCCAATCATCTTGGATTTCAAACTTTCTCATTATTATACATATCGAACAATGAGGAAATATACTTGATATGTAACAATTAAAGATCTGTTCACCAAAAAAACTGTAGGGTAAATGTTGGTAGAGGTAGGGTTGGACAGGCACGCGCTTTAAGATCTCTCTCATATCACGACTTAAGGTCTCATCGGCTAACAGCTTAGATAAGTCCTAGAAGATAAAGGGATGAACACACAACAGAAAGAATGTGTTAGAGAAAAGAGGTTAAAGTGTTCTTTATCAAGTTTTAAGTTAAACTCAATCGATTTCTCAAATTAAAATATTAATGACGAGGTAATAATTTTGAACAAGCAAATGAATTACTAACAAACACACAAATTGAAACATATATAAAGAGGTGATAACATGGAATCTCACAGAAGTGAATTTAAAATGCATTAAATTTGTACAAGGATTGGAAGAGTTATTGCGACCGATAATCAAGAGTTGTTGAGGTTTCGGTCAATATTTGAAAGTAACAGTAAGTAAATTCTGAGTAGAGACAGAATGTATTGAGATAGATTACCAGGTCACTAGATCACTGAGACATCTATAGTATAGCTAATTTAGAGGCAGAGCTAGTATGGATGATGAAAAATTACTTACATCATTAAGCACTATCTTGGACTTCATCGATAAATCTGTTGGGACATCATCGTCATTCGATGCACTAGCCTGTGAATTTCCGTTGTATGGTAAAGAAGAAATTTCTACATTTTCTGATAGATTGAAATTTGGATTTGTTGGATAGAAAGATGTAGCAGATGATGGCACTGAAGATGTCAGATCACAATTTAGAAATTTATCGATCAATTGTAAGGCTCCAGAATATGCTCCTGGTTTAGTAACCCAGGTTAAAGGTAACACACTTTCCGGTGGTTGAGTGCACAAATTTGAGTGCATATATGAAGGCCCAGCAATGGGATTCGTGTTGATGAAAGGAGTTGGATTCATAAATGGAGGTGCATTAGTTGGCATCATTTTGGTTGAACTTGATTCTGGAGGAATGGAGCAAGTCGAAGAGACAGTCGATGATTTACGAGAACGTTTCGTTAATCCACTTTTTGGTGTAAATCGATGTTTTATTCTCTTGACAGCATCTGTTATATTTGGTGGGCTAGTTCTGAGATATTCAGATTCTCCGATTGTAACAGAATTATCAATAAAACCATGCTTTGAATCTGTTTGGTGTGAAATTGTTGCTGATGGCCCAGGAGTTTCGAAGTGTTTACGAGCAGCTTTTGTTGGAAATGTTGGCATAGCTTCACAATGATTATCCATTGATTCTGCATCTGATATTTCTGGGTCAGGTTTGTAAGGCGGGTGTCGTTTACTTTTACTCCTGTAATTGTAACAATTATAAGTCATTAATTAACTACATTAATAATCAACAGCTAAATGTGAAAATTTAAGAGAATGAAGAAACACTTACACTTTGGATAGAACTTGAAGTTCGTAATCAGACGGTAAAGGCGCAGGTGAGATATGTGTCGGATCTTCTGGATGAGGTCCAACATCTTTACCTTGGAGCCAGAGATCATAACGTTCAGGTTGATATTTTTTGACAAAAGCCTCCATGCTAATTTTAACTGAATCACTACGGCAATTACACTATGGAAAAGAAAGAGTAGAGAAAGGTAAGAAAGAGGGAAATAAAAACAAATAGCTAGAGGCAATGTTTGCCTAAAGGAGTTAAAAGTGAGAAATTGCTCCAATTCCTACCCTTGTAGCTCGTTTTCCATATTCAACCCATCTTTCCGTTGCAAAATTAGTAGACTCGGCACAGTTATAGCCGTGGTTATATCCAGCATGATATGAGTAAGGAAATGTAACCATGAACTCTCCAGCTTCTTGAGTTATTTTGTTATATGGTATAGAATATTGTTTCAATATTGCTGGAGAAATTAATGTCATCTTATGTCTTAAGAAAGCTGGACAAGAAGTTACGCTTGAAGGGAAAAAGCCTTAAAAAATTGATAGTAAAAAAAAATGATATGAGTAAACAGAAATTGATAAGTAGAAAAAGTAGCTCATGTCATTAACACATGGACATTTACAACACAGCAAGAGTACTGTGAAGTATTTTTCCATGCTCTTTAAAGAAAGCTCAAGAGGGAGCACTTTGGGAATAGAGCTTACACACAAATGAAAAAAAAAGAATTAAGTTATAAAAAACTCACCAGCAGCAAGCCTTTCGAGACGTTTACCATGCTCTGGGGGGACGCAATACCATGATTTTGGCGCACCGAAGTGTAAATAATTTATGCTATAGAGATCCATGTCTTCAGTGTGCCAGGCAAATGTAGTCTTCCACATACCAAAATAAAGATATGCGGTATTAACACCCATGATCTTGATTCCGTAAGATTCATTTACCAAATCGAGAATAGTGTTAAGTCGATTAATGTTGAACTCATCAACGTCTTCATCATACAAAGAGCCAGGGACATCAGCCCCATATATTGGTGGGTTATAAGTAACATTTTTCCAATATTTCCTTTCAAGCTCTTCATAGTCAAAAAAATCTGGTGTCCGATATTTCGGATTCTCAGCAAGTTTCTTGAACTCTTTAACAGTTAAAGATTTCTTCTGAATGTTATACTGTTGGTAAAGGCCTAATCGACCTTGAACGATTTGTTGAATTGGAGCTTTTATTACAAGTTGATCTATCTCATGAGATTGATAATTTGAATCTTTACGACGAGGTTTCCATTCAGCAGGGGGAATAATCTAGGTTAGGTAAAATTATCAATTTGTAAAGGATAAAAATATAAATAAATGAATGGGTAAGAAATTGAAATAGAAAGCAGGAAATTTATAAAAGATAGACATTTGAATAAGTAAACAAAATATCGCAATCACTTACCTTTGCTAGGCCTGCTTTATGAGCACCTGATTTCTCAATTTTATTGATGTATCCTTCAAAATCTTTCATCTCTTCCATAGAGGGCCGAAACACTTGAATTCTCGGTATATTAATCATTTTGAATTTATTAAAACATAAAAATTAACTCTGTGAAAAAACTGTCCAATTTCAATTTCAATCAATTGAACCTAAGGCAGAACCAAAAACCAAATTTGCAAGAACCAGGAGGCGGAGTGATTAGTGACTAAAATGGATCGCAGCAAAGAGAGTAAAGAACATGTGACGCCGCCTATTGACAATAATTTTGTCTTTCTTATGTTGGTTTGAAAATTTTGTCTCAAAATCTTTAAACTATTTAACCTAAAAATGATTATTATTAGTGTTTTTAGGTTTTCAAAATTAAATGACCGCTGCAAAATACCAGTTTTACAAAACCTGTCAATAATCCCAAGGAAGTCCAACCCATACAATAATGGATCTGGTCAGCTTGGAATAAACAAGTTCTTTACGTTTTTTCTAGAATTGACAATCCAAAAGACAATCTCTAAGAACTTCCAATTTAATCTTTCCAAGTCTTAAAGTTGAAATCGTATCAACATCGCATTATCGACTTTTAATTATTGATTGAAAAGATTCCTATGTTTTCAAGGCATCTGAGCTATTGCTATATGATAAATGAATTACGCATATTTTTACTGACCTTTTGTCATTAAGATATGTGGTCTAAGATTGAGCGTAATGATAGTTTATCGACTTGATCAAATATTTGTTTCAGATGAGAATTTGATTTTTAATCAAATGAGATAATTTAAAAATATAATGTTTACGTGAATCTCAATGAAATCAAATTTAATTTATCCATTGCATTGAATCGTTCATTTCATCATACGATCCCTGCATCTACTCTGTTTTTAGGATGATTCAATATTTTGAATTTTCTAAAAATGTCTCCATTAATGAATGCGTAGTTGAATGGAGATGAATCATTTGAGCGAAGACATGTGAGGTTTAATTGAAAGATGAGCGTCTAATCTATGTAAGAGTTGAATAGCATAAAAAAGGTTAGTGCACTTTAACGGTTGAGCATTTTTGTCGCAACCTAAAATCGAAGTGATCTGTTGCCTGTCGCATAAAAAACGAAGATTCAATTTCTCAGAGTTTATTTCTTTAGCAAAGTAAGGGCATTTTCTGGTTTGCCATCAAAGGTACCTGAAAATTTCTTACAATATTTCTTGTTAATCTGAATTATCATGGAAATATAATAAACCAAAAAATATTTGGCTTTTGCAAGTAGAAACCTTTACTTTTGGCTATTTTGTTTTGCCTGTTTAAGTGCCACCAAAGGTCAAAGGTTAATCTAGTGATTATCTTTCCAAACCAAAATTATGATGAAAATAAATAAACCAAGGAAGATTTAGTAAAAGGTTGAGTTGTTTTTTTGGACAAACGGATTGTCAAATTACATTTATCATATTTTTAGATTGCAAGGTTTAATATTAAGATAATACAGGTGAAATTATTGAAATGATGAAATGAAATTGTATCAGAGTAGGGATTTGGATGCAAAGAGACGAAGAGAGAAAGAAAGGAATATTCATTGGAAAATCTGGATATTAAGGGTTGGGATAAAAGACTGAAAGGAAAGACTTTAAATAACAATAACAATGATGGTATTTAATTTAAGGAGTAAACTTGAATTCCTTAGGACAAGTACAGCCGATTCGTTGAATACATTCAGTCGCACAGTAGATACCACATTTAATGCAAACATCCAAAGGTTTTTCTTGGATGAACATAGCCAGAAATCCTCCAGTAAAAGCATCGCCAGCTCCATTAGTGTCAATTATTTTCTCTTCCTCTAATTGAGGAACAGGATACTCAGCAACTTTGTCTGATCCAGTAGTAGCCACTAAAACAGCTTTTGGACCTTGGGTAGCAACAGCAATTCGTGGACCTTTACTTGTTTTCGGTTCATTTGCAATCTTTTTAACTATCTCCTTCATATCCGTTGTCTGTTGAACAAAAAAGGCAAAAAAGAGAAGGAAAAAAGTAAGAAATCTTTTTTTCACACAAAAGTGAAATGCTTAAAAATAAATTCAAACCTATCCAATTCAGTTTTCAAATACTAATTATAACATAAATTTAAACGATTAGCAAATGAAAAAAACTGAACACATTGACAACTTACTCCATATTGTTTGAATTTAGCAAAAGCTAAAGTTTCCTCTTCATTACCAAACATGTAGTCAATGTAAGGTAATATGGCTTGCAGCTCTTTACCATGTTTTTCACTGACATATGTGGCAGCCAAATTGAACATGAACTTTTTATCAGTAAATTTGTCCACATTTGTTTGATGGGCAATGGCGACAACCGAATCAGGTGTAACAGATAAAATGTGACCCGTTGTATAATATACTCGAGCCTTGTCCACCCAATGCCAATTTCGGACAATAGCCTCTTTATTCAGTTTGTCAGCGGCACCCAAATAAGCACATAATGATCTGTTCTTTCCATGGTCAGTAATGAGGACAGCACATGTTCCAGTAGCGGTTGTCTTATCTACATGATAAAGAACCTTGACTCCTTCAGATTTGGCTTTCTTTTCCATCATTCGTCCAAAATAATCGTTTCCAATGGAACCAACAAAAGTGGTAACCGAAGTATTTTTTCCGATAATCCATTGAACAAAACGCAAGGTATTTTGACAGGCACCACCAGCCGAGTAGTCAATTTCAAATGAGTTGATTAAATCTTCATACAAATTTTCATGAGTCTTATCAGCAACAATGGCACCATTTTTGGGCAGTTTCCATCTGAAAAAAACAAATAAAAATACGATTAATTAGTGAATGATAAATGTACTTGGAACCATTCAAATTTAGGATCAAATTTCCTCAATATTTAAAGGTTAAGTGTAAGTTGATTAATGCTGGCAATTTAAATGATAAAATTTACATACATTAAATATGTAATTATGAAATTATAAATAAGCAATGAGCATTTTTATATTCATGTCTTGCTATAAATACACATAGAAATGTTATGAAATATTGAAAACACTTGGCCTGACTTTCAGATTCATAAATAAAGAAACAAGATTTACAACAAATATTGATTATTGAATGTACATAGCTAATTATCGATAAACAAATCGATAAAAACTTAATTTATTCAGTTTTAGTTGATATAAAATCAATTGTTTCGTTATAAACTGTTACACTGATAACATTGAGAATGTTAACTGACATTGTTGCGAGATAAACTGTGTTATTGAATAATACATTGTCTTGATTTTTAGCAGTAAATGCTCAGAGTAGTAAAGCAATTAAGATGGGATTTGATGCTAACGACAATTTTAAGTAACTAATGATCGCTTTAATCAAGTTTACTATATAGTTTAATAGTTAATATTGAGCGAAAATTGCAAGTTGTTTGAGAAAAGTATGCTTAAAGTTGAAGCCAATTTTCATTGTTGATGATTATTTTTCCGATTCCTCTGGCAATGTTTATTTTTAACAATTGAGCTAAATTAGAGCGTGAAACGAGCAGATATCACTTGAACACTGCTTTCCTTTTTAGCATCTCATTATCATGATTATGGTGGATCGTTAAGCCAAGTAGTTAAGGATTGAAAAGTATAATTTTCACGATGTTGTTCAATAATCAGATTCTTTAAGAGTTTAGTTCCAAAACAATTTCATATCACTGAATATCTTACACATTACTTTTCAAGCAACTCATATCACCTACTCAAGAAGCAAGATTATCACCATAATCACAATCCTTTTCATTCATGTTTATCTTTCATCTCACCGTTGAGAAATTATTACAAATGAGTTTTCACTTTCAAATTGAAGATCATGATCAACACTTTTCCAATCTGTCTCTTTGACTAGTAATAATCAGCAACACTTACATAATTAAGTTATTAAGCTATGTTACGATTGATGATCAAGTTGAAAAACCTAAAATCAACTTAAAATCTAGAGTATTGTCTAGCTAAAAGTAGGCTTATAATACAAAAATACAATAAATCAAAACTCTAGAGTAATTGTTTTCCTCTTTTTAATTGTGGTCAGAATTAAATCTTAATGCTGATCAATGCTGAATAAGCGAATCTATTATTACTTATATAAAGTAACAGTTGGATGGGAAAATCAGTTAATAGACTTACTTTGCTAAAAATTCATCGTTGACATTGGCAGAAATATCCAATAAAGGGTTTCCAATACCAAAAATGGATCCTTCTCTAGATAATTTTAACCAGAGGAAATGAAATAGAGACAATAATTAATAAAATATAATTAGAGTTACCAAATTAACCGTGAACACAATGGCTGATTGAGACAATTAAAATATAATTACAAAAATAGATAGGAAACTAAAAAGTGATACAATAAAGCTATAACAATCAATGAAACGTAAAAATGGAGGGATAAAACTTACACCAGCAACTCTTTAGCCATGTTTGATTTTTGATTGGACGATCAAAATGAAAACAAATTTTAACGATGGAGGGAAAATCAAATTATACAAGAGTTGAATTAAAAATCAATAAATCAGTTAATCAAATGATTAGAACACAAATTAAAATATTAATCCAATGTAAAATGGAGTAACATGAATAAATACGAGGTAAACAAGGTAAAAAAATTGGTTGTGTTTACAAGTGTCCAAGTCTGGTTAATTTTAACCGTTTGACGTGATTCAAGTTGATATTTGAAGTAAACAGTCGAGTAAATTATCCTGAATTAGTGTATCATTGAATTGCGAAGGATCAAGTGAAAAGTGAAAAACAAAATGTGAAAAGCTGAAAAAATAGAAATGCTGTGACTTGACCGAAATAAGCGTATTTTTATTTGAAACGCAGTCGCAACCCAAATTGATACGGATTTATGTAAGTCTTGAAAGGATGAATGGGTGGATAATGATGATAATGAAGATGATCATCTTCATCATCAACGGAGTATCTTTAGACATAAGGAGGTGAAAAAATGCGCAAATAAACGGTGTTAAGTTAATTTTGGGTTACTCCAACCATGTGAATCTATTCAGAGAGTATACAAAAAGTACGATAAACGAATCTGACAGAAACTCTTTTTTTTGTCTTTTATTCACTTTCCTTCTCATCACCATCATCCTCATCATTATCATCTCAGCTCATCTCTGAATCGCATTATAAAAAACCAAATTTAGGGCGATTCCTCAAGGAAACTCGAATAAACCAAACCTTCCGTTTCCAAGTATATCATAATTTTCATCTTGTTGTTTTTCAGGCAACCATTAACTTTCATTATTTTTCATCAACAACATCACTTATTACGACCATAATTTCAACAGCAAACAAATAAACATCAACAACAATCAACAGGATCCATGTTGATCTAGCGTAAGCCAAAAAATGATGATGTAGACGTTCAAGTACAAAGTAAAGGCCCCATCGTAATTATCATTTCTGTACTACAATTTAGGTTGAAAACAATCACTAATATATGATAATAAATTATTGAGAAAATGGTTAAACCAAGGGAAATTGATTGGCACAACTGACAGGAAAAATTGATTGTTGAAGCAAATATCTTGAGCAAAAGGAGCCTCATAGAGAACCAGAGAAAGATTAACTCTTTGCTGGTTCATTTTACCATCAGCTGAAGCACTCGAGTTAATAAATTATCTGGAAATCAGGGAATCACAAAATCAGTGTTGATTGACTTACAACATTAAATAAAGAATAAATTTGATTAATAATTGTCATGGAATGGTTAAACTGGTTAAAATATAACAATACAAATAAGATCAGTTGGGATAAGCAAGTTGACTTGGATCAATTTGGATCAGTTTCTTGTATTATAATATTACTTGGACTATATCCATAAAGATTGATACTATTAATACAGTAATTGATCGATCATAAATTGTAAATTTTAAATTTCTAAAGGTTATTGTGCTTAGAAATGGTTGATTTGTTTCTAACATTATTATTAACACTGTTATTTGATTGAATTAGACTAGACTGATTGATTGTTATTTTAAGACAATCGTTGAAGGTTTAAGGCTTGACAATGTATCAATAAATTGTATTGAGGCTTGTACAAGACATTGTAAGACTAATGGTGTAATTAAAAGGGCAATTTATTTGAAAAATAATGTGAGAATTGTTATTTCAATGTTTGCTATTTATCCATGAGAAATAAATGGATATTTGATCCTGTTGGATTAAATTGGTGATGATATTTGGCTGGGTAACAAGTATTTCTGGATAATTTGAGATACACTTGAATCTAGTCACTGTGTAAGTCTATTAAAAACAATATATTTATATAAAACAGAACTTTTATTTTTAATTTAAACATGAAACTCTTTGGTGATGAGCATGATGAATAGAAGAGTGAAAGTGATTTCAAGGTGATTTAGTATGCAATACAATCTGATGATTACAGATTTGTCAGTGTTTTCAATTCAGGAAAACTGAATGAGAAATATTAAAAACAAATATTTACTTCCAATTCATTTGGTAACCTGGAAACTCAATTTTCAATTTAAAGTTAATCTCACGGTCTATTAAAGATTTATTGATTCTTATTGATTTTTGAGATTGTTTTCAATCAAAATCAAAATCCATCAACAACAATGACAGTTTCAGCTGAATATTTGTGAATATGATTTATCTGAATTGAACAAAAACTCTGAGAAAGATTTGCTGAAAGATTAGATTTTACTTTTTTTGGTCAATAGATGGCATTCAGCATTTGTGTTTTTCAAATCTGGCGGTTCAAATTTAGTAACCAATAAGTAGTCGGTAACTAGAAGGAACTAACACGGGTTTTCCTTGAAAGCGATTAACCATTTTTTTCATCTTTATTGGTGTTTATTTTAGACAATCTTTATTTAGTTGTTGAATAAAATTCAAGTATAATCTTGTGATACTTTCGTTTAATTGTCTTGTGTAAAGTTTATTGTTTTCTGTTGTTTTTATCTATAGTAATGAAGTCAAAGAAACATAAGAAACATAAGGATCATCATAAATCTGGATGTGAAGATAGTCCATTTGAGCAGAGACCGCTGAAACTTGTTCTCAAAGTTGGTTCATCGTCTTCTTCAAATAATTTAGCCACTGCAAAGAAAAAGAAAAAGTCTAAAAAACATAAACATGGACATCATCGTTCTCATCATTCTCACCATCATCATAGGCATCATAGAAGAAGCTCATGCAGCCATCATTCAAAATCATCATCATCATCACAACATCATACTAGCAGTGAACAACCACCATATGTAACACCACTTTCAATCAAAACTCATCCAATTCCTACTGAAGTTAATGAAGTTTTACCCTCTAAATCACCTCCACCCCCACGGCTTGTTTCCACTGGTGGAAAAACAGGCAGCAAATCTCAATTTATCCAGTTTTTGGGACATCTTTTGAAATTGCTTCAAAAGCGGGATATGCATGACTTTTTTGCATGGCCAGTTACTGACATGATTGCTCCAGGTTATTCATCTATAATTTCTCACCCTATGGATTTTGATACAATGAAAAAGAAGATTGCCCAGGGACTTTATGAAACATTGGATTCTTTTCGGTCGGATGTTAAACTAATTTGTGACAATGCCATGGTTTACAATATGCCTGAAACCATCTACTATAAGGCAGCGCGAAAATTATGGCATTATGCTAGATGCAAAATTTTCAACAAAAACATTATTCCTGAGTTAGCCAAACCTTATCCTGATTTAAGTCCAGGTCAACTTGGCTATGATATGGAAGAAAGTCCAATAATGGAGATTGACTCTTCAATTCAAACAGTGCCAGGTATTGAAAACTCACAACAAGACAGCTGTACGGACCCGCTAAAACTTCCAGATAAAGAAATGAATGATTTCAGTGAAATTGAACTGATTGATGACGAAGAGCTGACTGCAGAACAGATTTTAGCTCACGTGAAAAAATCTGCAAAAATAGCTGCTGATAGATTAACGTTGGAAAGACCGGAAGGGTCACATTTAAGTTTCCTACGGCAGAAAAATGATGGAACCACAACATTGGGTATTATTGGAAGTCAAGGCAAAGAAAAGACAGTAACATTAGGAAGTTTAGTTGGTCAAATATCCGATGGTATTTCATGTTTACCACCCTACAAAGAACCTGAAGCAAATCGAGTTAAAATGATGGATTCCGTCACTATAACACCTTTCTCATCATTCTTACCCTCAATGGATTCGACCTTTGCCACTCTTAGTAAAGAAGAAACTCAATTGTTGACATCAACTTATGGAGAAGATGAAATCGGCCTACATTATACACAAAGTCTACTATCATTTGCAAATGATAATGACTATGTTATGAATATGGTTGGATCTTTACTTGAAGTTCTAACTCATGGTCAGCATGGTAAAACGATGCATAAGTTGAAAGATTTGCAAAAGGAAAAGGAGAGAGAAAAGGAAAAAGAGAAAGAGAAAGCAAAAGAGAAAGAAAAAGAGAGAGAAAAAGAACGAGAAAAAGAGAAAGAAAGAGAAAGAGAGAAAGAAAAGAAAAAAGAAGAGGAAAAAGAGAAAGACCAAGAAAAAGATGGGGATAAAGAGTCAGAAAAGGAAAAGGAGAAAGATGGAGATAAAGATAAAGATAAGAAAAAGGACGATGAAACTGAAAAAGCCAGGAACAAAGAACAAACCAAAGACAATACTGATATGGACATTGAAATGATAGCCATCGATACAAGTTCGGATGATATTCAACCTCAATTAGATAAAAGTTCTCAGCTTATAAATGAATTACAATCCATCAATCATCAACGCTTAGCATCTTCTACTCAACCAATACCACCATCTGATGATGAAATGAAATTAGCTAACCTATTATGTGACAAACTAACGACATTCATAAGTTCTCATACAACACCAGCTGACATCAGTGATCCTAGAGCTATCAGGAAAGCCTTGGGAATACAAATCAAATCAGAAAACCATTGAGTCTCATCATAATTCACATTCATTTTCAGCATCTTGATCATATTAATATTTAAAGATTTTGACCATTCAAAATCGTAAACTTGATTGTAGACTCTTTACCTCGCCTTTTGTTTGTAAAACTGTTTTTGAAGTCATCTCTCTTCGTAACCAGCTGATCTTGATACTTTTATATCAAAGCTGGTGATATATGATTATAAATTAATTGTTATTTAATCCAATATTTGACAATGAAAACTTACTTTAATAAACAAAAAGAATGCTTTTAGCTTATTCCAAGCTATCAAGATATTAGCTGATAAAAAATAACACAATTTACAAACATTTTTACGATTCAAATAGCAAATAATGTCATTTAGGTTTGATTGATATTTTTGTAAAACTAAGAAACTCGAGCTAAATAACGGGATGCAGATTTAATGACAAAATGCGATTATTGTGATTAAAACTTAAACATGTTCAACGGATAACTCTAATGAAGGAAAAGAAATTGATTATAAAATCTATTTTTTGATTTAAACACCTGATGGAAAGTCAAGCTCTATGTATAACTTGTAATTAACCATTAAATCATGATTAATAATGATAATAACCGATAATTATAATGTGAAACTGTAAATTTTGAAATTGATAAAATAAAACATGACCATTGCTGCTTTGAATCAGCACTGGAAATTGAAAAAAGATGAAAAAATCATTTCAGTAACTATTGAACTGCAATTTTCGACATTATTTTGTATTTATTGCATTTCTACTATTTTTAATAAAACCCTGAGTTGATATGGATCAATGTGTTAAATCGCAAACGATTGAAAGATGACAAAAATCGTGAACTAAAGATTCTTTGTCAGCCTATTTGAGTCTAGCAAACTTCGTGAACTTCGGTTTAGTTTGATGGCTGCAAAACATTAAAATAAGTGTTTCAACCGCGTTTTTGAACAAATGCCGACGTTTGGACTAAAAAGTATTTGCTGTCACCAGGATTCGAGCCTGGGTTGTCGCGGCCACAACGCGAAGTACTAACCACTATACTATGACAGCTTATATAATCTGAATGCAGCAAATTGGAAGGGATGAAAACTGAAAAGCCCAACAATGAAATTGAAGGTATGAAGCCAATCCTGTTATTACTGAAGCTAGGGGAAGGAAAAGACCAACCCTTTCATCATGAAGCTGAACAATCATTTTATTGATAATGATAGGTAATGGTTCACTAACCATGAGCGGGCTGAAAAGCTGTAAACAAGTTAAATTGTAGTTCAAAGCATACTTACTTAGCTGTTGATCTCAGAGCGTTGAGCACCTCGAGTTTTAGCTACCATGCCTAGAGCTCGAATTTCTGCGACATCAGTTACTTTTTTGTCCAAATTTCAAAAACCGAAAAAGGGTGAAGAAAATTGAAAACACTGAAAGTTAAATCCATCCTAAGCAAGAGCTTGAAAAGCTGATATTGAATGTTTATCACCAGTGACAATAGAAAATGGTTTTCCACTTTAATTTGAAAAGATACAACAAAGATGTATACTGTAAGATCATTGTCGATTGTCGTCAAGTTTCATTCCACATTTGATCGTTTTCAAATCAAATACAATGTCAACACACCAAAGAAAACCAAAAACTCGGGGAAATACTGAAGCTGAAAAAATGAAGCTTAAAAAAGCTATTGGAAATCAAAGCAATATCTGATAAATTTCAACTAGTTCGGTGAGTCAACATGTTGTTATCAGTAATTCTTTTTAATACTTGATATTATTACTCCTAAAAGTGGTAATTTCAATCAATGTTAATTTCAATTGAGATAAACAATTCGTATCAATTGTTTAAACGAGTTGTTTATTGTTAACGGTTGAGAGATGGAGCAACGTTACCAATTCTTTATGTAACTCACTTTTTGAAGGAGAAGTGATAGGGAAAGAGAGAGAGAGAGAGAGATAGCAAGTGATTTATTCTACAAACATATAAACAGTCTTTTTATTTTCATAATCATAATCCACCCTTATTTTATTATTGAAATTGTCTCTTTTAATTGTATACTTGTTTGACCTAAGTGTTAGTTTAATAAAAGATGTCCGCTCCATATTCAAATCAACCCCCACCAATAGGTCTTAATGGTCCTCCGGCCGCTGCACCTCCAAGTTATCCAGGTTATCCACCAGCAGGTCCACCGATGAACCCAGGTTATCCTCCTTATTCACAACCTTATGGTGGACAACAGCCACCGCCAGCTTATGGTGGAGCACAACCACCACCACCAATGCAACCTTATGGACAACAGCAAAATTATCCAACGGCTGTCAATGAAGGTAAGCTTCATAATTTCCTTTAAACCGTAACCACTATCTCATCTTTTGCGTTACATCTATTTGATAATATTGTCGATTTATATTAACGATTTTATTTCTATTCTTATCGGTGTTTGGAGATAATCTGCATCTTTTTTATTGTTTCACTAACTGATTTGAAGGAGAATCATAATGCTAGAAATACGCCAGCCATTCTGTTGATCTACAGTTAATATCGATGGTAATAACTTCAGGGAAAAAGAGAAAAGGTTGAAAAGCAAAATGTCATGTTAGTTCATCATTCTCTATGTATGTCGATAAATGTACATATTGACTGCTTTTAATGACATTTCAATCATCATTAAAGCAGCCAATCTTCTAGAAGATTTGATCTTAGCAATTTCAAGTAGCATAATGCTTGAGACAAATACTTATCATCGTGTTGTTTTTGCTTAACTCATACATTGCGTAGACTACAGAGTAAAGACTCAGCTTGCCATGTTTCATAAAGCGAAGATTTAAAAAGAAACAAATCGTTTCAATTTCACTTGAGCCCACATCGCTGATGTATCATAGCGATATTCAGTGACGTCAATGCATTACTCACAACTATTTTTTTGACCGGTTTTACGTGCTTGTAGTGTGTGACTGTTTTATTTATAGCTCTAACCGTTTCTTCAAGGAAAGAAAAAAAAAGTTAACCTCTTAAAGAAAGTGAAACTGACTGAAGTCAATTAAGTCTTGTTTTCTGTGACCTAGTTAAATTGAATCTTTCCGTTTTTCGTTCCATCAACAATTTTCCCAATTCATGATATTTGCAAAGTAGATCCATCCGATGATAATTTGTAGACTAAAATTACTTAGTAATCACAAACTGTAGTAGAAATGACAACTCAAAAACAACTTTGATGTATTTCTATACAATATTTTTATATCAATTTATCAAACTAAATACAAAGTGTTGACAGATTGTTAACAATTTGTTACCTTGAATTCTCAGCCATTGAAAATGAACTTTGTTCCTGTCTTTTCGGAGAATTATTGTAATATTATTTGTCAATACTTTAAATGAATTTATGAATGATTTCATATAGCATTAGTAAAGGCGTTAAGATAACGATAACCAGGATTTACTTTGCATATCTATTTTTAGGTTAAAGTGTATTCCACAAAAGGCTCTTATTATTTAAAGGTTGACTTTTCACATTTAGGAATATGAATCTAAATGGTTAAATGTTTCCCTAATTTTGTTCCATCTAATTTGTCTTTTGTCTTTATATTTTCACAGGTAATTGGATGCCAACTCCACTAATACCAAATTGTCCACCAGGATTAGAATATTTAACTCAAATTGATCAACTTCTGGTTCACCAGAAAGTTGAGCTTCTTGAAGCTTTCATTGGCTTTGAGACAAAAAACAAATATCACATTAAAAACAGTATGGGCCAGAAAGTGTACACTGCAAATGAAGGTAATATATTAATAGCTTAAATTGTCACCTTTCAACTTGACTAATTTTATTTCTTTCTTCGCCCACTAGATACTGATTGCTGCACCAGATGTTGTTGTGGATCTGCTAGAGCTTTTGATATGAAAATTCTCGATTATCAGAAACGAGAAGTTCTTCATCTCTACCGGTAAATCATTTTTGCTGATTCTTGTAGCATGATGCATCCACCGTGATTTAATCATTTAGATATGGTTGCCTGGTTTCAATCCTGTTTCAGATAATCCAAATCAATATGAACCTGACTAATTTCAAAGGAAATTAGCATCAATTTGATTCATCTTATTATGCTCTTTTCTAATCTAATAGCTTAGGTTCTTTCAATATGTTTGCCTTTTGCTCGTTATCCTTAGTTTTACAAGTAATCAATTTTTCTTGTTGGATCAAGTTAGTTTTCATTTTTTTATTGATTTTTCATTCGAAACTGTCTCTCCATTTCTTTAATTATTTAAATATATTATTCATGTTGTCTTCTTTCTATCATGTCCTGTCCATCTATCATATTCTGTCCATGAAAGTTGTCTATCATTCAATGTGATTGTTAATCAATAGTTTAAGTCAATTCTTGAGCTAGCATACTTTTTTGTGTTTATACCAAGAACTGTTGGGTTTAGCTTCCAAATTTGACTCTATCTATGTTTATTTAGGCTTACATTTAGTTCATCTTGACAAAAAATTTCATTTGAAATTTCTCTCAATTCAATTATCACGGTTTCATGTATTGTAGTAACATTGCTTTATATTGCATTCATTATAATAATCAACCTCGTAAATAATCAGGGTTAACCATTGTCGAATCTATGGGTAGCTTTAAAGTATCTTTACAATCTTTTATAATCTAATGACATGATGATCACTGAAAAAAGCATTATTGAGCTATTTACTAGCACTTTATTGAGCTATAACAAAATCGGTCAAACGATTGCTCATAAGATAGGAAATTATTGTAATAAATATAAGCTTGAAAAAATCACCATAATTTTCGGATGTATTTTCAAGGCTTTTCCCATTTATTTGGATGAAACTTCATTAATTGAATCTTTTTTATCTCTTTTTTTTGTCAAGCCCTTTGCGATGCCAATCCTGTTGGTTTCCCTGCTGTCTGCAACGCATGGAAGTTACTGCTTCTGGTAATTTATGTGGATATGTTGAACAATCCTGGAGCCTTTGTTTCCCTAAATTTAGAGTTTGTAATGCTGCAGGAGATACAGTTTTACGAATCGAAGGACCATTTTGTACTTTCTCTTTCTGTGGTGATGTTGAATTTCAAGTATTATCACGCGATGGCGACACGCAAGTCGGTCGTATAACTAAACAATGGTCTGGTTTAGCTCGAGAAGTATTCACAGACGCTGATCATTTTGGTATTTCATTCCCAATGGATTTAGATGTCAATATTAAAGCTGTATTATTGGGAGCTTGTTTCTTAATTGTAAGTATTTATCTTATAATTATTGCTTCAATTCCTTACGCGTTATTCAATAAATTCAAGTTGAAGAATTCATAATTCCCTTTTTAATCCAATCTATCATCGGTTAACGACTCAAATCCTATGATAATTTTTGTGATCGTCACTAGAAACTTGAGTTACAATATCGTTCGAAATAGATTTCAAAAATGAATTACTATTATTTTGCTAATCTTAATACTTATTCTGATTAGATTATGATATTTTGACAATTATTGTAGAGGCGTTATATCCTTGAGATATTATCTTGCCTTTCCTACGTCAGTTTTTTTAGTTGTTTCAGCCAATATATTTTACTAAATAAGTTGCTCATTTCGTAAACAAATGATGGCATATTGCTAGATCTTGATTTTTTCATATATTTCAGAACTTTTCTTACTGATTACAAACATCTTATCAACTTTACTTTACTTCAATATTTGATGAAAATTAAAACCATTTTGTCAATATTACAACTAATTCTGTCTCTTTACTTTTACAGGATTTCATGTTCTTCGAGAAAACTGGAAATAAAGAACGTGATAGACCGGGAATGTTTGATTAGGACGCAAAAAAGACACAATTTTACATTTAACGACTTTTCTTAAGGCAGATCTATTGAACGGCAACCTACAACCATGCTATCAATTAAAGCACATTGTTTAAACTTAACAAACCGAAACAAATGGACATATTAGTGTATAAATATATATTATTATGTGTAAAATGCAAGAACAAAATTCAATATCAAATATCAATAGACATGGTTTGAAAGGCTTTTGATATTGATATTGTTCATGTTTTGGTGTGCAATATAACTTTTTTACTCTGTTGACTATTTCATTTTACTTGTTGAGTCCAATTGTGCTCGTTTTTGAGGCTCATCTATGAATTTCATTCATTTGCAAACGAAAGTGACAATTATTGACAAACTTACCCTTTGAAATGACAACAACATCAAAGAAATAAAATTGAAGGAACCCACTGATGGTCGACAGCTGATAAATGCCAACAAAACTAACTTTTAACTAATCTTTCAATAATCTTTGAGGTGAAATTGAAGTTTCATTAATATGTAAAGACAAAAGTGAATGAAATTCATTGAGAAGCGTTTCATCATTTTAAACTATTTCAATTTTGATCATTTTACACTGTCATTGTAAAGATCAAATGTGTTTTCATTTGCTCTTTTTGTTACGCTTATACTTATAACAGCCATTATCTCTAATTGTCCAGATTAACCTAAAGTTAAAGCAAGTCCAACTCTCACAAAGGTCCCAAATGAAACAAGAATTATCCTTGACTACCGAAAAAGCCTTCGTATTTCTTAAATGTTTGTCCGCATCTAATTTACAATGTTTACACCGATATAAATATCCCAAATCACTTTGCGTTAAAAACAATGGTTCATTTGATTGTACCGGAATTGTATCAAATCTCATTTTATTTAAATCATCTGTCTATCAACACAGAGATATATGTTTAATCGAGTTTTTTTTATAAAATTATGACCAATAAATTGCACAATTTTATCATTTTATCCAGGCTTTTTATCCAGGAAATTTTTAACAATTCATTGCACAGTAAAACCTCAGTTATTTTATGTCAGCGCTAATTTTTTGTTGCGCCATCTCTTGTTTTCTTTTGATACTCTGCATACAAAAATATAAAATAACCAAGACTCCACTGTTATTATCAATCAATACTTCATGAAATTATTATGTATTTCTATTGTAATTGTTAGTTTAATAATGAGGAATCAAAAGAATAGCCATTTAAAAAGGATTTTCTGCACTTTTTGATAGCCTATCAATGATAGGTGTCCATATTCAGCAAAGTACTTTCATTGCTTTTGAACTTTCATTTCAAAGATGAAAAAAGCGAAGAGATAGGACACAACGGTAAACTGTCCATGTCTAATCCATGCTAATTTAAACTCTAATTTTCTTGTTAAAAGAAATTGTATCAAATTTAATTCAGTGATTGTATAAATAATGTTCACTCCAAATTCAATCCAAGAACCGTCATGCAATCATCTTTATCCTTCACTCGAAACACCATCAAATAGTGTGGTTCATCCTCAACCAGCAACACATTTAGAGCAACCACTTTATCCTCAGCTTTACGGTGGAGCAAGACTACCATCGACCAATCCCGGTAAAATCAATTACCTAAATGTTTTGTTATCTGAGTAAATCTAATTTCTTTCTTATATTTCCATGATATTTTTAGATGAATGGATTCCGGGTCGTCCAGTATCTTTTAGTCCGCCAGGATTAGAGTACTTGACTCAAATTGATCAAATTCTTGTTCACCAGAAAGTTGAAATTCTTGAAACTTTAATTGGCTGTGAGACAAAAAACAAATATCATATTAAAAACAGTATGGGCCAGAAAATATTCAATGCCATTGAAGGTAAGATGTTGATATCGCAAATAACCTTTCAACTAATTGTACTCCTTTCTCGCTTTACCCATTAGATACCACTTTTTGTACCAGGTGTTGCTGTGGACCAATGAGACCATTTAATATGAAAATTACCGATAACGAGGAGCGAGAAGTTATAAATCTCTATCGGTAATATATGTTGATTTAGCATAATACAGATTGATGGAAACAAGTATATTATCGAATGCATGTCCATTCAACTTTCACTGATTCATCACTTACTGAGTTTTTTCATTATTTTAATTTTTTCATTTAGGCCTTTGAGATGTCAAGGACGTTGTTTCCCTTGTTGTCTTCAAAGTATGCAAGTTACTGCTTCTGGTGTCGTATGTGGTTATATTGAACAAACTTGGAGTCTTATTGGGCCTAAATTCAAAGTATGCGATTCTTCTGGTGAAACAGTTTTGCGGATTGAAGGACCATTCTGTACTTTCTCTTTCTGTGGTGATGTTGAATTTAAAGTTTTATCACGCGATGGTGACACTCAAGTCGGTCGTATAACTAAACAATGGTCTGGTTTAGCTCGAGAATTATTCACTGACGCTGATCATTTCGGCATTTCATTCCCAATGGATTTAGATGTCAATATCAAAGCTGTATTATTGGGAGCTTGCTTTTTAATTGTAAGTATCTTCTTTCCTGCTCAATATGATTTCAATGAAAAGGACTTATTTTCTTTATGCTTTATTTTTCTTGATTTTACAGGATTTTATGTATTTTGAAACTAAATAGTGATCCTGTAGACAGACGATTCAAATGAAATGAGATTTGACACAATCACGGCACAATGAAATGAAACATTGTCTTCAACGAAAAGTGATTAAGGTTTCATTTGTGACTGTTTTAGAGTTGGACTTGCTTAAACTTTGCGGTTGATCTGGACAATTAGAGATAATGGCTGTTGACAACAAGTCTAAAATGATCAGAATTAAAAGCTTTCGCTTATCAGCCGTCGATTTTGTCTTATATTGGATTCTATTACGGCATCAATACTATGTATCGATGGTAGGCTCTCGATATTGCCACAATTTAAAGTTTGATATTTGCTATCATATTATAATATTTTATAAAAATCAAATAAATATAAAATTTTATCAATTTACACCAAATTTTTTACACAGGTTAGTTGCTTTCTTTATTTGTACGTAGTAAACCGATCACCATTCATCACATCGATTTCAATCCAAAAACCTCCAGGATTGGAATATTTAATCAAAATTGATAAATTTGTTGTCAGTCAGAATATTGATCGTTTTGAATCAAAGAACAAAGTATCTTTTTTAAAAAACTATTTGCCTCAGAAAGTTTATACTTCAGTTGAAGGAAAGATACAAAGAAAATTAACGCCATTTCTCATTGTTTTCATCTCCTCCGCTCAGAATACGATAAGTTTTTATAGATTTGTTGTAACACTTGTTTCCTAGTTTCAATGCTGTCCCAGATAATCCAAATCAATATGAATCTGATGCTGATTTAAAAGATGAATTTGATCCATCTTATTAATATTATGATTTTTTCTTAATCTAATAGCGAAGGTTCTTTCAATATGTTTACCTTTTGCTCATTATCCTTAGTTTCACAAGTAATGAATTTTTTCGTTGAATCAAATTAATTTTCATTTCATATCGATTTTTCATTTGAAATTGTCCCAAAATTTCTTTAATTATTTATTTAGAAAAAACAACTGATGTTAAATCTTGATTTTTTATATATTTCAGAACTTTTTTTACTAAAAGCAAGCATCGCACTAAATTTTAAACTAATAAATGATTTAAATTTACACAATTTTTGTTTTTCTTTTGTCAATATTACAACTAATCATTCAAACAGAAAAGTTGTCATTTATTTAGTTATTCAGTTGATCAGGTTTAATTTATCATAACCTCTGTTAACTTAAAATCGGTAAAAAGTAGAATTTTCTTCAACCAATAGCGAAATTCATTTGGGGTGAAATTGTTAACAATTTATTAATACAAATACTAATATTATCAATCAATACTTCATGAAAGTTTTAAAATGAAAAATCAATAGGATAGCCATTAAAAAGGGGGTTTCTGCACTTATTGATGACCTATCAATGATAGGTGTCCATATTCAGCAAGTACTTTCAATGCTTCATAAACTTTCATTTTTAAAGATGAGTTGAAAGTGAAGAGATAAAATGAAACAGTGAACTTTCCATGTCTAATCTGTGCTGATTTTCTTGTTAAAAGAAGTTAAATCAAATCAAGAAAACATGTCCATTCGAAATTCAATCCAAGAATCTCCAGGATATCTTGTTGGTCCTCAAACCGAAAGACCATCAAATAATGTGTTTCATTCTCAACCAGGTACACAATTGGTGCAGCATTTTATCCTCGGCTTCACTATAAAGCCAAACTACTATCGAACCAAATACCTAAATGTTTTGCTGGTTTTTCTCTAAGTAAATCTAATCATCTGTCACGAATTTCCATGATATTTTTCAGATGGTTGCTTGCAGGACCGTCGAGTAGCTTTTTGTCCATCAGGATTAGAGTACTTGACTCGAATTGATCAACTTCTTGTTCAACAGAAAGTTGAACTTCTTGAAGCTTTCATTGGCTTTGAGACAAAAAACAAATATCACATTAAAAACATAATGGGCCAGAAAATATTCAATGCTATTGAAGGTAAGATTTTGACAGTAACCGTAACTAACAGTTTCGCAAGTAACCTTCCAACTAATTGTACTTCTTCTCTTGATTTCACTAGATTCCGATTGCTGCACCAGGTCTTGCTGTGGGCCTGTTAGACCATTTAATATGAAAATTATCGATAACGAGGAACGAGAAGTTTTAAATATCTACCGGTAATACATTAAATCTGTCAATAACTCATCTCTTATTGAGGCTTCTTCATTATTATTCATTTTTCATTCAGACCTTTGAAATGTCAAGGATGTTGTTTCCCTTGTTGTCTCCAAAGTATGCAAGTTACTGCTTCTGGTGTCGTTTGTGGTTACATTGAACAAACTTGGAGTCTGTTTGAGCCTAAATTCAAAGTTTGTAATTCTTCTGGTGAAACAGTTTTACGGATTGAACGATCATTCTGTACTTTCTCTTTCTGTGGTGATGTTGAATTTAAAGTTTTATCACACGATGGTGACACTCAAATCGGTTGTATAACTAAACAATGGTCTGGTTTAGCTCGAGAATTATTCACTGACGCTGATCATTTCGGCATTTCATTCCCAATGGATTTAGATGTCAATATCAAAGCTGTATTATTGGGAGCTTGTTTCTTAATTGTAAGTATTTTTTCCCCAGTCCATATGATTTCAATGAAAAGGTTTATTTTCTTTATGCTCTGTTTTTCTTGATTTTACAGGATTTTATGTATTTTGAAACTAAATAGTGATCCTGTAGACAGACGATTCAAATGAAATGAGATTTGACACAATCACGGCACAATGAAATGAAACATTGTCTTTAACGAAAAGTGATTCAGGTTTCATTTGTAACTGTGTGAGAGTTGGACTCGCTTAAACTTTTTGGTTGATCTGGACAATTAGAGATAATGGTTGCTTAAATAGTGATCCTGTAGACAGATGATTTGATTAAAATGAGATTCGATACAATTCAGTTTCAATGAAATGAGCCAGCTAACACAATGTGATTCTGGATATTTAGATCTGTGTAAACGTTAAAAATTAGATGCAGATTAACATTTAACAGCCACGAAGGCTTTTTCGGTAGTCGAGATTGATGTAGGTTTCATTGGTGACCTTTGTGAGAGTTGAACTTCTTGGAGTTGGATATCTGCTTTCATACTTATCATATGTATTATTTTATTCATAATAAATATAAAATTTTATCAATATACAGCAAAATGAATCGTATCGATCTAGTACGAATTACAATTATTTTGAAACGTTATTTGCGTTATAAACCTCTAAGGTTGTTACTAAAAGGACACAATTATCACATGGTATTAGTGCAATACACTTTTCAAAAAACAATGGCTCTCCTATAAAAAAGTGGTATAAATAATAAATATAAAATTTTATCAATATACAGCAAAATGAATCGTATCGATCTAGTACGAATTACAATTATTTTGAAACGTTATTTGCGTTATAAACCTCTAAGGTTGTTACTAAAAGGACACAATTATCACATTGATGCACAAATTGACACAAATGGACAGAAACGGGTGAACATTAATTTCTTTCAAACTAAGACTCTGTTTGAGAATGGCATCACTTAAAATCATCAATCTTTCACCAATTAATAATCCAATCCCTTTAAGAACTTTCCATTATAGCATTTGGATTATGATGTTTACGCTGTAAAATGTACGACCACCAACTTATTCAACAAACCAAATTCTTCGTAAATAAACCAATTTTCTGGTTAAACTAACAAATGAAATGCAAAAAGTACTGCGAAAGTCTCGTACATTTGAGTAAAGAGTTGAGACTTGGTGGGTTTGTAGGGACATAAAACTAAGTCTAATGGCACAATTAAATAAGTAATAGACAGTGTTCTAGAAAGTCGAGGTATTTTTAAAACTACCTTTTAAATATCTTTCATCTTACATCTTGTCAGCTGTGTCAGAATATGTAACTAACTTTTAATTGAATACATTGGGGATTTTTTGGCTGCACATTGATGAAAGGATCTTGGAATTGTCATTAGATAAAGGAAATGATACACAGTCGTCTTTTCCTAGCTCAAACATATAATGATCTTTGAACCAACAATTAAATCTCACTAATAACATAATCTCTTGCTAGACAGAAATAACTGTACTTTGATCTTACAAAATCTTACAAAGTTCTTTGTTAGCCATGTAATGATCTTTGATTATGATTCAAAAGTATGCTTTGATTCTTTTCTCTGTTTTCATGCTCATGCCCGTTAATTTAACCTCTCATTTTTTTGTTAAAGAAGTTCCATCAAATTTAATTCAGTGATTAAAATAAATAATGTTCACTCCAAATTCAATCCAAGAACCGTCATGCAATCATATTTATCCTTCACTCGAAACACCATCAAATCGTGTGGTCCATCCTCAACCAGCTACACACTTGATGCAACCATTTCATCGTAAGCTTTATTATGGAGCAAAACTACCATCGACCAATCCTGGTAAAATCAATAACCTAAATGTTTACTCAGTGAATCTAATTGTTCTCTTATATTTTCATGGTGGTTTTTAGATGGTTGGCAGCCGGGTCGTCCAGTGCCTTTTAGTCCGCCAGGATTAGAATACTTGATTCAAATTGATCAAATTCTTGTTCAGCAGAAAGTTGATAAGAGAAACAAATATAAAATTAAAAACATCGAAGGCCAGAAAATATTCAAGGCTATTGAAGGTAAGACGTTTAATTGCAAATAACCTTGCAACTAATTGTATTTCTTTCTCGCTTTGAATCCCATTAGATACCACTTGTTGTACCAGGTTTTGCTTTAAATGGATTAGACCATTTAATATGAAAATTACCGATAACCAGGAACGAGAAGTTATAAATCTCTATCGGTAATACATTTATTGTATATTTATACGTTGCCGTTCATCAAATGATTCACATTGATGAAAACATGTTCAAATGCATGTCCATTAATCTTTCATCGATCATCTATTATTAAGTCTTCTTTATTTTATACCACTTTTTTTTTGGAAAGCCATTGTTTTGTGAAAAGTATATTGCACTAATACCAGTGCAGCACATTAATACAACAAAACTGGTATAAGTTTGTTAGATAACTACATTGAAAGATATTCATGCATAAGACGCGAGGCCCCTTGGGGCCGAGAGTCTTATGCATGAATATCTTTCAATGTAGTGATCTAACATATACTTATACGCCTTTGTTCAGGCCTTTGAAATGTACCGACTGTTGGTGCCCATGTTGTCTTCAAAGTATGCAAGTTACTGCTTCTGGAGTCGTTTGTGGTTTTATTGAACAAACTTGGAGTATTTGGCACGCTGAATTCAATGTTTGTGATTCTTCTGGGGAAACAGTTTTACGAGTTAAAGGGTCATTTGACATCTTTCCCTGCAGTGATGTTAAATTTAAAGTATTAACAAGAGATGGTAAAATTGAAGTTGGTTGCATTACTAAACAATGGTCTGGTTTAGCTCAAGAATTATTCGGCAACATTAACCATTTCGGCATTTCATTTCCAATGGATTTAGATGTTAAGATTAAAGCTGTATTATTGGGAGCTTGCTTTTTAATTGTAAGTATTTTTTTTCCTATTCAATATGATTTCAATGAAAAGATTTATTTTCTTTATGATTTGTTTTTCTTGATTTTACAGGATTTCATGTATTTTGATATTGCATATTAATCCTGTAGACAGACGATTTGAATAAAATGAGATTGGATAAAATTCCTTTAGAATGAAATGAACCATTGTTTTTAATGCTATGTGATTCTGGATATTTATAATGAGTAACCGTTGAAAATTTTAAGTGGAATAACATTTAACAGCTACGAAGGTTTTTCAGTAGTCAAGATTGATTCAGGTTTCATTCGTGATGTTTGAGAGTTGAACTTCTTCATATGTATTATTTTATACAAAACCAAATAAATTTAAACTTCTATCAATTGACACCAAATGGAATCATATCAAATCTCTTAACTATTAACTCATGTTTGTTGAGTTTTTTTATGAAATTATGACCATCAAATCGCTTTCACCATTTTTTCAACCTTCTTCAGAGTTATTCAATTTTCTTGCTCATGATAAGTTGTCATTCATTTAAACGTTGAGAATATATGAATACATCCAGGTCACTTTGATGCTCTTCGTATTTAAGCATAAACATGTTTCCATCAATGTGCATCATGCAACATCAACATCAACATATATTGCCGGTAGGAATTTATAACTGGTCGTTCCTCGTTATTTCATATTAAACGGTCTAATTGGTCCAAAAAAGTGGTATCTAATAAGAATTACAATTTTTTGAAAGGTTTTTTGCGATATAAACCTCTAAGGTTGTTACTAAAAAGACACAATGAATCAATTTTCACATTTATGCATCAATTTAGCGGCAGTTCTCTTAGCATGATAGCGTGATTTTAGGTTGACGTTTAGTAGATCTGCCTTAAGAAAAGTCGTTAAGTGTAAAATTTTTCCTTTTTTGCGTCCTTATCAAACATTCCCGGTCTATCTCGTTCTTTATTACCAGTTTTCTCGAAGAACATGAAATCTTGTAAAAGTAAAGAGGCAAAATTAGTTGTAATATTGACAAAAAAGAAACAGAAATGGTTATAATTTTCATCAAATATTGAAAAAAAGTAAAGTTAATAAGATGTTTGTAATTGGTAAAAAAAGTTCTGAAATACATTGAAATATTATGTCTCTATGATAGTTGTCAAAATATAAGAATCTATTAAGATTACTGAGACACTATGTTTTGATCAGAGTTACTCGTGATAAAACTATGATTAATGTTTTGTTGCTGAGAACTGATTAACCACTATTTAATAGGATATATTTTTCATTTCTTCAACTTGATCCGTTCTCAAGAAATGAATAATTAAGATATTGACCTTTAATAAAAAATAACAAACCTTTTCATCGTTTATAAATAATCAAAGATCATCTTACAGGTACTTCTCCCAACCAGAAATGAAGGATTTATGATGAACACGTCAACTAAATGAACGGGGACTAAATGTTAATGTTTTATGTTTTTATTTAACAAGAAGTAGTTTTCAAAGCTCTAAAAATCAGATTAAAAAACAATTAAGGCTCAATTTGATCTATTAGAGAAGATTGAAAATGGTGAAAATACGCTGCCCGTTGAATAGTGTAAATAAGCTATTCCAAGAGAGCCAATTATTTCAACCTTTACTGTACAAAAAGTAAACAGACGATAAACTGTTCATGTCTAATCTGTGCTAATTTAACCTCTCATTTTTTTGTTAAAGAAGTTCCATCAAATTTGATTCAGTGATTAAAATAAATAATGTTCACTCCAAATTCAATCCAAGAACCTCCAGGATATCTTGTTGATCCTCCAATCGAAAGACCATCAAATCGTTTGGTTCAACCTCAACCAGCTACACACTTGGTGCAGCCATTTCATCCTCAGTTTTATTATGGAGCAAAACTACCATTGACCAATCCTGGTAAATTCAATAACCTGAATGTTTTACTTGATTTTTTCTCAGTGAATCTAATTGTTCTCTTATATTTTCATGATGGTTTTTAGATGGCTGGCAGTCAGGTCGTCCAGTGCCTTTTAGTCCACCAGGATTAGAAAGCTTGATTCAAATTGATGCAATTCACGTTCAAAAGAGAGTTGACTTTTGTGGAAGCAAATATCATATTAAGAACATCAAAGGCCAAAATATATTCAATGCTATTGAAGGTGAGATGTTGCTATCGCAAATAACCTTTCAACTAATCTCACTTCTTTCTCACTTTACCAACTAGATCCCACTTTTTGCTCAACGTTTTGCTGGGTAACTGTTAGACCAATCAATTTGAAAATTACCGATTCTGAGGAACGAGAAGTTATAAATTTCCACCGGTAATAAATGTTGATGTTCATAGCGTGATACATATTGATTGAAACATATTAATACAAATGAATGCACTTTATTAGTACATTGCATCTTTCATTGATTCATCTTTTATAAAGGCTTCTTCATTATTATACATTTTTCATTCAGGCTTTTGAAATGTCAAGACTGTTGTTCCCCTTGTTGTCTTCAAAGTATACAAGTTACTGCTTCTGGAGTCGTTTGTGGTTTTATTGAAGAAACTTGGAGTCTTTGGCAAGCTAAATTCAATATTTGTGATGCTTCTGGCGAAACAGTTTTACAAGTTAAAGGGTCCTTTAACATCTTTCCCTGCCTTGATGTTAAATTTAAAGTATTAACACGAGATGGTAAAATTGAAATTGGTTGTATTACTAGACAGTGGCCTGGTTTAGCTCGAGATGTATTCACCGACTCTGATCATTTCGACATTTCATTCCCAATGGATTTAGATGTTGCAATTAAAGCCGTATTATTGGGAGCTTGCTTTCTAATTGTAAGTATTTTTTCCTAGTCAATATGATTTAATGAAAAAATTATACACTTCATGATGTTTTTTCAGATGGTTTTATGATTTTACAGGATTCGATGTGATCTTACTACTGCAGCTTTGAAAAGAGATTCATCTCTCATTGCCATTTCTTTATCGTTATTCTCATTTGCCAAACTTCTTGTAACCATTAATAAAGGATTTAAAATAAACTTGGAATTCCATTTTTCTTTTAATTTTGAGACTTTTCAATATTCAACTTTCTTTAAAATTTTCTGTTTTCTGTAAAACAGATCAGTTCGATTTCCAATTAAGTCTTCCGCATTCTGTGATCGTAAGAGTTAGAGATCTGAAACTTGGTTGATAAAAACTGTCTGTGCAAACTCGTACAAACAGGCACATCTTTAAAAACGGTTGCATCGAAAGTTTTCTTGACTGAATAGGCACAGAAAAGTGGTGCCTATCAAAGAGTAAATACCATATAACTAAACAATGATCTGGCTTAGCTCGAGAAGTATTCACCAATAATATAAAAATATCAAACCTTTTCATCATTACTAAATAATAAAAGGTCATCTTACTTTTCCTCAACCAAACTTGGATTGAGCTATGATGAACGCTATTGGAAAGTTCATTTCATTTACTTTCTAATGTTGTATAAACAACATCAAAATTACTCGACTCAATTACTAATGAGAACCAGAGTCGTCTTTTCCTAGCTTAAACATATAATGATATTTGAATCAACAATTAAATCTCACTAATTGTCTTTGCTAGACAGATTTAACTGTACTTTGATCTTAGCCATGTAATGATCTTTGATTATGACTCAAAAAGGATAATTTGATCTGCTTCTCTGTTTCATGCTCATAAACGTTTTTCTTATTAATGATTAACATAAAAAATTAACAACATCTAGTCCAGTCTTGTGGTTTGCACTGGGAACTCTCAGTCTGAAAGTAACATTTTTGTTTCTCTCTTGTTGTGTTCCTTGTTATTTAACACGAAGTATTAGTAATAGTTTCCTAAGCCCATTATTCACTATGAGTCGTATTATTTCAACCCTTACTGTACGAAAGGCAAACAGTCGATGAAATATCCATGTCTAATCTGTGCTAAACCTCTCATTTTTTTGTTAAAGAAGTTCCATCAAATTTGATTCAGTGATTAAAATAAATAATGTTGACTCCAAATTCAATCCAAGAACCTCCAGGATATCTTGTTGATCCTCCAATCGAAAGACCATCAAATCTTTTGGTTCAACCTCAACCAGCTACACACTTGGTGCAACCATTTCATTCTGAGCTTTATTATGGAGCAAAACTACCATTGACCAATCCTGGTAAAACCGATTACCTGAATGTTTTATGTCAATGAATCTAATTGTTCTCTTATATTTTCATGATGATTTTTAGATGGTTGGCAGTCGGGTCATCCAGTGCCTTTTATTCCACTAGGATTAGAATACTTGACCCAAATTGATCAAATTCTCGTCCAACAGAGAGTTGACATTTGTGAGAACAGATATCATATTAAAAACATAATGGGCCAGGAAATATTCAATGCTATTGAAGGTAAGATGTTGATATCGCAAATAACCTTTCAACTAATTGTACTTTCTTCTCAATTTACCCATTAGATACCACTTTTTGTACCAGGTTTTTCGGTGGATCTAATAGACCATTTATTATGAAAATTACCGATAACGAGGAGCGAGAAGTTATAAATCTCTACCGGTAATATATGTTAATGTTCATAGCGTGATTCACATGGATGAAAACATGTACAAATGCATGTCCATTAAGCTTTCAACGATTCATCTCTTATTGAGTCTTATTTATTTTATACTTTTTTCGTTCAGGCCTTTGAAATGTGAAAACTGTTGTTTCCCTTGTTGTCTCCAAATTATGCAAGTTACTGCTTCTGGAGTCATTTGTGGTTACATTGAACAAACTTGGAGTCTTTGGCAACGTAATTTCAAAGTTTGTGATTCTTCTGGCGAAACAGTTTTACGAATTAAAGGGTCATCTAACAACTTTTCTTGCTGCAGTGATGTTAAATTTAAAGTATTAACAAGAGATGGTAAAATTGAAGTTGGTTGCATTACTAAACAATGGTCTGGTTTAGCTCAAGAATTATTCGGCAACATTAACCATTTCGGCATTTCATTTCCAATGGATTTAGATGTTAAAATTAAAGCCGTATTATTGGGAGCTTGCTTTTTAATTGTAAGTATTTTTTTCCTAGTCAATATGATTTCAATAAAAAGACTAATTTTCTTTGTGATTTTTTCTTGATTTTACAGGATTTCATGTATTTTGAAATTAAATATTAATCCTGTAGACAGACGATTTGAATAAAATGAGATTGGATATAATTCCGTTTCAATGAAGAGACCTTTTTTTTCAACGCAATGTGATTCCGGATATTTATATTGGTGTAAACGTTGAAAATTAGATGCGACCAAACATTTATGAATAACAACTAATATGAAGGCTTTCTCGGTAGTCAAGATTGATTCACATTTCATTGGTGATGTGTTAGAGTTGAGTTTCTTGCAGTTGGATATTTGCCATTATACGTATCATGTGTATTATTTCATACAAAACCAAATAAATTTAAACTTCTATCAATTTACACCAAGTGGAATCGTATCAAATATCTTAACTATTAACTCATGTTTTCGAGTTTTTTATGTGATTATGACCAACAAATCGCTTTCACCATTTTTTCAACTTTTCCAAAGTTATTTTATATTCTTGCTCATGATAAGTTTTCATTCATTAAAATGCTGATAATATATTAGTACATCCAGGTCCCTTTGATGTTCTTCGCATTTAAGCACAAACATGTTTCTATCAAAGTGCATCATGCAACATCAACATTAAATATAATATCTGTAGAGATTTATAACTTCTCGTTATTTCATATTAAACGGTTTAACATCAAATATTGAAATAAAGTAAAATTAATAAGATGTTTGTTATGCTTAACTATGATTAATTTTTTGTTGCTGAGAACTGATTAACCACTATTTAATAGGATATATTTTTCATTTCTTTAACTTGATCCGTTCTCAAGTAATAAATGGTTAAAATATTGACCTTTAATATACAAAAACAAACTTTTTCATCGTTAATAAATAATCATAGATCATCTTACTCTTCCTCAACCAGCTGGATTGAGCTTTTATGAGCGCCATTGGAAAGTTCATTTTTCTTCTAATGTTGTATAAACAATATCGAATGTTGAATAAGCATATCATTTCAATGCATTATAAACTTTCATTTTTAAAGATGAGTTAAGTGAAGAGATAAAATGAAGCAGTGAACTGTCCATGTCTAATCCCGATGAACGAAAATGAGTCAAAGCACTCACTCTATCATTCAATGTGTGTGTTTTGTCTTCTTTGGGCTTTCATGGCTCTTCAACATATTTTGATTGTTTCGATCAAGAAATGCAGATATTTCATTCAACATATCGATTAATCACCTTATCATTACTGTAGAACTATCTATTATATCTCCTAAAGAATCACTTTCTGTCTATCTATTTCCGCCATCTTATCAACGATACGACTGATCATCTCTTTTTCATTATCTGGAAATCAGAAGTTTGACTAAATTTTTGCCGATTGACTGAGAGGAAGCTCAAAGTCACCACCCTTTTTGAACAATTGAGTCACTAATGAGTTAATATTTGCGCCATAAGGCTGCATAAAAAAGCTTTTTTTCATTGGGATCTGGGCTAATTTTCTTGTTAAAAGAAGTTAAAACAAATTTAATTCAGTGATTGTAAGAAAACATTTCCATTCGAAATTCAATACAAGAACCTCCAGGATATCTTGTTGGTCCTCAAACCGAAAGACCATCAAATAATGTGTTTCATTCGCAACCAGGTACACACTTGGTGCAGTCATTTTATCCTCGGCTTTACTATGGAGCGAAACTACTATCGACCTAGATACCTAAATTGTTTGCAGGTTTTCCCCTAAGTAAATATAATTTGTCTTTTATTTTTATATTTTAACAGGTAATTTGATGCCAACTCCACTGATACCAAATTGCCCACCAGGACTAGAATATTTAACTCAAATTGATCAACTTCTTATTCAACAGAAAGTTGAACTTCTTGAAGCTTTCATTGGCTTTGAGACAAAAAACAAATATCACATTAAAAACAGTATGGGGCAGAAAATATTCAATGCTATTGAAGGTAACATGTTGATATCGCAAGTAACCTTTCAACTAATTGTACTTCTTCTCTCTTGATTTCATTAGATTCCGATTGCTGTACCAGGGCTTGCTGTGGGCCTGTAAGACCGTTTAATATGAAAATTACCGATAGCGAGGAACAAGAAGTTTTAAATATCTACCGGTAATACATTAAATCTGTCAATAACTCATCTCTTATTGAGGCTTCTTCATTATTATTCATTTTCCATTCAGACTTTTGAAATGTCAAGGATGTTGTTTCCCTTGTTGTCTCCAAAGTATGCAAGTTACTGCTTCTGGTGTGATTTGTGGCCATATTGAACAAACTTGGAGTCTGTTTGAGCCAAAATTCAAAGTATGCGATTCTTCTGGTGAAACAGTTTTACGGATTGAAGGACCATTTTGTACTTTCTCTTTCTGTGGTGATGTTGTATTTAAAGTTTTATCACGCGATGGTGACACTCAAATCGGTTGTATAACTAAACAATGGTCTGGTTTAGCTCGAGAAGTATTCACTGACGCTGATCATTTCGGCATTTCATTCCCAATGGATTTAGATGTCAATATTAAAGCTGTATTATTGGGAGCTTGTTTCTTAATTGTAAGTATCTTTTTTCCTATTCAATATTATTTCAAGAAAAAGATTTATTTTCTTTATGCTTTTTTTTCTTGATTATACAGGATTTTATGTATTTTGAAACTAAACAGTGATGCTGCAGGCAGATGATCCGAATAAAATGGGATTGGATAAAATCCCGTTTCAATGAAATGAACCTTTTTTAAACGCAATGTGATTCTGGATAATTATATTGGGTAAACGTTGAAAATTAGATGTGGAATAACACTCAACAACTAAGAAGGTTTTCGGTAGTTAAGATTGATTTAGGTTTAATTGGTGATGTGTGAGAGTTGAACTTTCTGCAGTTGGATATTTGCCCTTATATTTATCATATGTATTATTTTATACAAAACAAAATAAATTTAAACTTCTATCAATTTACACCAAATGGAATCGTATCAAATCTGTTAACTATTAACTCATGTTTGTCGAGTTTTTTTATAAAATTATGACCAACAAATCGCACAGTTTTATCATTTTACGGTCTCTCTCTTACGGTCGCAGAATGCGATCGGTTTAACTGAAATTCGAACGAATCTGTTGTACAGAAAAAGAAAAGTTCTAATTCTAAAAATAAATACATTTTCTGGTTGATAATCAAAAGTTTCATCAGTAAAATTAGTTTGTTGAAAAGATCTGCTTCCATAACCGCACAAAAGCGCAATCCAAGTTTCAAGTTTGGACACGATTTTCTCGAAAACTGTAGCTCGGATGAACCCTTTAAATCGCCCGAATGGAATCAGTTTTATTTCATAACAAACTAACAGAGTCTAAGCTTGGAGGAAATTAATTTTTACCCATTTCTATCCATTTGTGTCAATTTTTGCATCAAAGTGACAATTGAGTTAAAACTTTGCAACATTTAACTTTCTGTTGCACAAGAATTAAACAAGTTTAAACAATGATGCGCTTTAGTTGATATCATGATTGTAGGTTACCCTTCAATAGATCTGCCTTAAGAGTCATTAAATATATAATTGTGTCTTTTTGCGTCCTAATCAAACATTCCCGTTCTATCACATTCTTTATGGTTGTAGGCAAGTTCACCGAAAATCAATTTACCGAAAACAGGTTTACTAGAAAAAAAGCTTAAAAGCAACAATCGATGGTAAATATGAGTATATCGGATAACAACATTGATATCGAAATAAATAATCGTATTCAACCTGAATTAACATTTATTAATTTTATTTGTCTTCTCATTGAAATATATTTAAGTTCCTCAATTATCCGAGTCACTGAAATTATCAATTACATTTATTGGTTCATTAAGACCCATTGGTATTTTTTCCAAGTAATGATTTAAGTTAATATTGCCTGTCTGAAGTCATTTGTTAGTTTAATCAATTTCTGTTTAAAAACTATTTGTTTTCGTTTCATTGGATTGATACGATGACCACAATGAGAAAGTAAAATGTTTATTTCTGTTTTTTGTTGCTCCTTTTCGATGAAGTCGATGAGAGTAAAGATGTTTGGATGTTTTGTTTTGATCAATTCGTTGAGTTTACGATGCAAGCCTTCAAGATGATTTGTTGTTCGGAGACAAAATGCACCATAATGATTCCATTCATTTACATTGAACTTTCCATCCGACCATACTCTTCCAAAATATTGGTAGAATCTATTGAGTAGCGATTGTAATGGCTCATCAAATGAAGAAATTTTCAATTTCTGATATTCAGATAAAACTTCGTTCTCTGGAACCAATGGTAACGACATTATTTTCCTCATTAATGGTCTAATGAATGAATTATTATAATATGATGATAAACCAAGCTTATTTAAGCGTCTCCATATAGCTTGAGTATAATGAAAATTACAGCCTTTGATATTTGATCTTGGAAATACAGTTTTGATAGCGTGAAAAGTAGCTTTTTCAAAGTTGAATTGGAAAGTTGATGGATCAAAGTTAGCGCCAATTTTTTCAGCTTCATCTTACAATTGTCAAAAAACTCTAATATATTTTTTTTCCTTCGATCAGGCATTAGTATTACATAAACATTAGTAATACATAAACTAAAGGACACATAATATTTTCAACCATAGCATGAATGGTGTAAAGTTGATGAAATCGACGAGCAACAACACGAAAAGTTCCATCCATAAAAACCTTATCAGCTTCACATAATTTCCTTAAATTAGTTTCACTTGCAAAGGCTATAATTTCATCAGTCGAACCAATTTGAAATAACAAAAAATTTTCACCTCCAATCGTTTTGCCATATTCGCCATCAATGTTGATATCAATTCTATCATTTTGTTCAGCTGGAGTAAGCTTTGCTTTAGATTGTCTTATTGTTGTCCTCATTGACACATATTCAGGCAAATCTTGTGCAATGATTCCCTTTTCATTTTGTGTTTTTCCATCTAATGTTTTGATAACAATATTATCATAAACTGTTTTAATTGATTCCAATGGCTTTTCTTTGATATGTTGACGCATTTCCATCTTCAATCTTAGTTGAGTTATCTTTGTCTCTGAATTGACATGAAGTGAATGATCCTTTTTTGTGTCATTGTAAGACCATCACTGTTTTCGTTCACAATTATTCTTGATCTACATCCATCAATACGGAAATCACAGAAACAATATTTAATTCCATCGATTTGGTTTACTATTTCATCAGCTATTATTTTATTATTACATATTACATTATTTTTCTAATTCCATATTAACCAATATAAATAGATATAATGTTATCACAATGTGCTTTGAGAAACTATTATTTAGACTAATATTAAATGAACGTTTCTCAGTTTAAATTTGTATTCCATCGATAATCGTTTCTTTTTCCTTAAACTTTTTATTCTAATAATCGGTTTTTCTAGGAATTCATTTTCCGGTGAACTTGCCTGCAGCCTTCTTTATTACCAGTTTTCTCGAATAACATGAAATCTTGTGAAGCAGCCTGGGGTGGTTTACAGGGTGATTGGTGATGACCCCTGGACGTTTGATTATTAATAACTAAAAAACTTCTACTTTTAAGTGAAAACCAACTTTGATAGGTTAACACTGCACTATCAGATTAGGTTAACACCTGGTTTTGGTTTATGCAAATTTTGACATTTTGCAGCTGCAGCGCTCCGATTAACTTTAAATAGCGATTGTTTCAAAGCTGATCTTTATACTAGTGTCAAAAGTTGTTTTTAATGTTTAACAAGCATTGTCTTAAATATATGTGAAGTTTCATTGCTTAGTTTTATCTCGTTTCAAAGTTATAACCTTGCAAACCAATGGCCGAAACCCGCTACTCAACCCAGCAAAAGGCATTTTTTGCGTTAGAATACCATGTGTTGAAAAATTATGCTGAAGTTAAGCGTAGATACGCAAAACAGTTTGAGATCAATGATTTGCCAACCGATGAGACCATCAAACGTGCTTATGATAACGGAGATGTGTGGATTCCTTTTTAAAAAAACTTAAAGAGGAAAACAAATTAAAAGTTTAAGAACAACTAAGAATTATTTTTGTTATGAAAGAAATAAAAAATTAGAGAAAGAGTGAAAATATCTTGCATCGCTGACAAAGATTATTGAATCGATGCTAAATTATCATCAATTAGGAATAAATTGAGACAATACAGCTATAATTGTTAATCTGAAAAATATAGCGAAAGGAAATAAATTATCCATAAAAGTTTATCCATAGTTTAATTACTATTTGTATCTTACCGTTAACTAAATTTTACAATCAATAACATTTTGTGCGTGCAAAGTCTTTGTATTCTTGATAACTAACAGTAATTTTTTCACTTTGATAGCGAGTCAATTTGATAGACGAACGAACGTCAGCTATTAGGCAAGATACAAACTAAAATCAATGTGTATAAATGTAATGACATCTATTGGCATTTGTCATTACATTACACAAAAATAGTAAGTACAATGCTTACATCATTTTGTTAACAGCATGTGCTTCCTTTACCCTTACTCTTTCTTTTTTGTTTAAGAGTTTTTTATGATATAATGACCATCAAATTGCTTCACCATTTTTTTGCAACCTTTTAAAAAGTTATTTTATATTCTTGCTCATAATAATTTGTCATTCATTAAAATTTTGAGAATACCCGGCGTTTTTTTCATTTCACGTCTTCATGCAGTCATAAGTCACGAACGGCTCACGAGACTCCAGACTTGAACCATAAGCTTATTCAGATTGCACAAACATAAGTTCGAGTTCTCAAGGTTATTCGCGGTCATTTCTTTGACCGCTAACCAGCATTGAAAGGTCATTATCTTAAATCGTAAAAATTGATAGTGTTAGTCACATGTTCAACTCATACTGGCTAAAGGATATGAGTGATCCAATAAAATTCAGAAAAATACATCATCTATCAATGGTTATGAACATGTGTCATGTTTCATCCTGCAACGTCAACATCAACATATAATATCTGTAGAGAATGGTCCAAAAAAGTGGTATCTAGTAAAAACTACAATTAGTTGAATGTTATTTGTGATATTAGGTGATCCAATAAATTCGTATAAAAATTATGTTCAAGGGGAGCAAAAAATTTTATTTTAAAGATATGCGCCATTCAGGTCAATGAGTTTTGCCAACGAGCAGGCAGACCGCTTCGAAACCAAAAAGCGGGCTTTGAAGAAAGTACTCATTGACGGCACTAACAATCTCATCTCGGCTGCTAAAAACGTGTCCTCGGAGTGACCTTTTTAAGTTAGAGAACAGAAAAAAGTCTGACGGGGCAAGGTAAGGTGAATAAGGGGGTTCTTAACCAATTTCCATCCAAGGTTGGATAAAAGGGTCTTTGTTTGGCCAGCTTTGTGAGGTCTTGCATTGACTTGAAAGAAAACCGGTTTGGTCGCTCCTCTCCATGACCTTTTCTCTGTCAAGATGGCGGCAACTTCTTCTATTTGGGCGCAATATTCGGCCGCGGTTACAGTTTGACCCTATTGCAAGTATTTAGCCAAGATAATATCATGGTGGTCCCACCAAACACAGGCCATAATCTTTAAACCATGAATTTCTCTACGAACTTCTCGACTGACCTGTGATGGGTCTGCCCTATTGTCTTCACTCTTGAGTGGTCAAAGGGTCATTCGCACATATCCAGGTTTCGTCCATAGTCAATAAATGTTCAGAAACCTACTTCGGTAGCTTCCAAAAAGGTCCAAAGCTTCGCGACCGCAAGCGATTCTTTCACGCTTTTGCTCATCCGAAAGTGCGTGTGGGACCCATTTTGCGGCCAATTTTTTGAACTTAAGTTCATTGTGTAGAATATCCGACATGGTACCTCTCGATACATTAAAGATGGCTGCAAGTTTTTCCGTTGTTGTTCTTGGGTCTTCCTCAATGATTGGCCTGGCACGGGTGGCAATCGTTGTATGGTCCACTTCTAATGTTCTCCCCGGGCGAGGCTCGTCAATATGTTGGTTCAGCCATGTTTGAATTGTTGAGCATATTTTCGAATGAAGGACGAACTGAACTTGTACCTGCCATAAACAGCTTCAAATTCGGCCGTAAGACCGGCATAAGACAGGCGTTTTAAAACTAGGAATTTTATTACGGCACGGTATTTAACGTAATCCATGGCCTTAGAATTGGAATAACTTTTGAATGAATGAAAATAAAGTGATGA